AATACTAATTAACTCAGGATTGTAGGACTATGGTTTGGCGGTAAAAAAAGTAGACATTCTAATTTATCATTTATTTTCATATTACTTGTGTTAACATCACTTTTTAAAGTCAATCATATTTTTCTATATTAAAATATTTTTTTACAGAATATAAGAGAGAAATATAATATTTTTTAATAGAATATTAATTAATTCAGGATCCCCAGTAGAATCCGCAGTATATTAATTAATTCGGTATCGTAGGACCAGCGTAGTGATAAAGGTATGGCGATTCGCGTAAATTTCCAATAAGATCTTACGCCTCTTATCGTATACACATGTCGAGTGTTATTGTCCGGCAAACAAATAAGAAAAAAATTGCCCCACCTGTGATTTAGCCTTTAGTGATCATTTAATTTCATATTCGGTTGCGTTGAAACCATCTCTCTCGTCCGCGACCTCAGCAGCGTCCGATCACCTTGTCGAAGGCGTCTCGCTGTCGGCGGACGGCGCGTTTTGTTTTCGTGAGAATCGTGAGAATGTCAAGGCGGGAAAGTCCTTTGACACGCCACGTGTCCGGAGGATTTAAATTCAAGGATGTCGCGACCGTTAGAATGTATCCTCGAAGGCGAAAGCCTTTACGTAACGCCGGACCCGCCCCGTTAATGTGCTAATTCGACACGTCTGCGACTCCCGGGAGACGTTCTCATTAATAAGAATCCACGTTAAATCACGTAAATTCCTGCGGCTGAGACATACTGCGAGCTATATATAAATTCTAGCTGCCTTATTTACGCTCATTGTGGTCTGAGAGGTACTTTCGTTTTTACTTTAACACGACACTTCTCCACCTTTAACACCTCCCTTCGCGCGCGTTGCACCTTACGCGAACTCCCAGGCATTCTCGCGGCGTTTGTTCGATGTATCGACACAAAACGCACGTGCGTGCACCTGCGTGCACGGGCGATGCTCACGTTTGAAAGCTGCAAGTCGCCGGGAATTTGTTATCGTTATCTGTCGCACAAAAGGCTGACCGCGGTCATTAGCCGAGTGTGTCGGCTGCGATGTTGCGATTACATGCTAATTCGCCGTTCTCGTGCAAACCACAGGCCACGTTGCACTGCATTTCTTATTCAAACATTAGTCCGTCTTTCTTCTCATGGAGGTGTGAGTTTTGTTCAGTTTTAATTAATAAATAAGTTGAAATAAATGGAAATTATTAATTCCCTCTCTTTCTCTCTTTTTTGTCAGTTTTTTTCATTTATTTTGATTAATTCTCTTCTGTATTATTAGTTTGTTTATTAATTCTCTTTATCATTAATTTATTTTTAAATAAACTGTAAAATGTGAAACTTAAAACATTAAAATAAAATTGTCTATTAATAGAGTGATTTTATTCAATTTATTTAATTCTATTTTAATTAATGGATTAATTAAAATGAAAGAAAATTTATTGGTACATATACATGGATGTAATAATTTTTTTCGGCAAATGCGTGCACGTATCGTAAAATGAGAGGTTTCATTTCAATATTTGTGGTAATTATTGTACTTGTTGAAATATTTGACGCGCCGCGTCTTCGTCGTCGTCTTCGTCGTTGTGAAAGAGGCTTTTTCTTCGGACGTAATTAAACGAGAGTGTGGTGTCGTTTCGGCCTGTTTGCATTCCGCCGCGTTAAGACGCTCAGGATGACGTAACCTCTTCCTCCGTGTTGTCAACAATATTTAGTAACCGTGTGTGTATGGGTGTGTGGCGCCAGAGATAAATTACGTCCACGTGGGGTTTTCGCGTTGTGTACATCGCGTGTAATAATACGACCGGCATAAACGATACTGCTTTACTTCTCGCTCACACTTCTGTGTACTTACACGAAGAAATAAAAATCATGAAAGCAAGGTAAATGAGCAAGTTGTTAAAATGTCTCGCGCACTTCCCAGACGAGTTGACGCTGCGCGAACGAGCTCCCTGTGAGCGAGATAAATTGAATTAATATTAGAGAAAGTCAATACACCAAAATAATAGTACAGAAAAGAAATGATAAAGAGAAATAAAGGAAATTGTGATGAGAGGAAATTAATAATTTTTTGTATCTCAATTCATTTATCAGTTAAGATTTAATAAAATCATCTATGTAGATAATTTTATAAGAGATAAGTTATATTAATATTAGAAAAAGTCAATACATCAAAATGATAATACAGAAAATACAGAAAAGAAATGATAAAGAGAAGTAAAGGAAATTGATGAAAGGAAATTAATAATTTTTTGTATCTCAATTTATTTATCAGTTAAAATTTAATAAAATCATCTGAGATTAATAGATAATTTTATTTCAACGTTTTCAGAGCATTTTATTCCCAGTTATATCTGTGATTTAAACGAGAATAATTCCAATGCTAATTTAAGACCTCTAGGAAAAAGAAAAGGATAGGCTATAACCTTTCTCAGTTCCGTAAAATAATTACAGCCTTGATGCATTAAAACTACTATACCGATCTGTATATATTTACGGTAAAATTCATTATTATTCTCCCGAGAGGTGTTAATTAAATTACTTGTTAACACGTTTCTGACCGACTTATCGCACATGTTGGTCGTGAATACATTAAGAGCCATGTAAGAATATTGCTTGGAAAAATCATTTTGTAGATCAAATGAGTTTTCTCTCTCGATCTAGCTTGATTTTCTGAGCTAATGGTGGTACCTGGGTTCGTTCTCGTGATATTTATGACAACCCCGCGCGCTCATTAGTGGCGGAAATATCTCGATCGATAGGCCGGGGTGGATAAAGCAATAGGAACGGTAGGCTTCGGGGCCATCTGCGGCCCACATATGTTTACGGTGACGCACATACGCCCGTAGTCCGCGAATGCTATCGTTGCATAAGCTAACTATATCCTGAGTCGCTCACCCTGGACTCTCTCTCCCTCCCTCCCTCCCTCTCTCTTTCTCTCTCTTTCTCTCTCTTTCTTTCTCTATCTCTCTTCCTCCCCGGTATGCGCAGCTGTTGGGGGGCGAAAGAAAGGGGGAAAAGCGAGGGTGAGTTAGATTGCACGGTACATAAAGGAGCATTCGATATTGCCTTCTGTTCTCACATGAGTGCATTGTTATTCGGAGACAACCAGACAGCGCGCAGACTCAAGTCCGATGAAGCCGGGGTTGATATGGAAGTAATTAATTATCGGTTGCACGCAATGACGCAAGCCGGTTGAGGAAATGAAAACTGCGTGGGTGCGATATAATAAAGTCAGATATCTTTAGTGAGCTCGGTAGACCCTTCGAAACGGATGTCGCCTGTCCATCCCCTCTGTCTCTCTCCCATCGTCGCAATTTTTAACGTCACGCTTCTCGCTTCATCGTTACATTACATCCGTAATGTAGTTCGACGATTCCGCGACTTTGTCGTCCCGCGATTTTTGCAGCTGCAATTTCTGCGAACTTTGCAACCCTCACTGTTGTAACTTGGAGATCTCCCAATTTTGCCGTCCTATGATTTCACATGTGTTTCCAACAGAGTTTCACGAATTTTGCTAATTCGCACGAATATGAGTTAATCTGAGACTAATCAGAGATGGTAGTCACAACAGCAACCAAAGCAGAACTTGATGAGAAAGTGCCACAGGTTTCCACTTTCGGCACTGTGCGTTTTTGTAATTCGGTAACTTTGCGATCTTGCAGTCTTGCAAATTCGTAACTTCTTAATTTCGTGGTTTTTTTAAATCGTTACTTGAGGACCTTTGCGCGCTTTCCCGTACATTTCTAATCAACTCATATAAAAATCACTACCTGAAACGGATGCGCATTCGTCTGATACCAATTGCGGGGAGGTGGTGGCGAAGCTAATAAAGAGGCGCGTTAATAATCCGTGCACGCGGCAGGAAATCCCGTAAGGACGGAAGATCGACGAGTACCGCTCGTGACCGCAAGAAACCGGACTTCGTCGATTCGCGGTCAAGATCGCTTCCTGGATCGTTGAAATTAGACGAGGGTGACTACGACGGAGAAATTGCGCGGCGAAGGAAAAGGGAAGACGGCGACGACGTCCGGGGACGGAGAAAAGATGCTCAGCCAGCCGTGATTTCCCGTTTCTTGCCGTTACTCGCCGGCAGATAAAAGATACGCGTACGTAACACGCGTACGTTGAAGAGCTCTCTTCCGTGTCTCTCGGGGTCGCGTTCCTGCGATTCGACTGCGGACGACTGTAATAGCGGACGTTGCGTTGCGCGAAAACGCTCACTTCCTCACGACACGCCGTCGTGCGCCGTGTTAGCGCACGAGACAGTTTACAGAGCGTGACGGACTTTTCTGTTTTCCTTTCTCTCTTCTGCGTATACAATATGTACGTGGTGGTAGTTCCACGGAACTATGCGTCGCCTGATCATACCTGAGCAAGGTGAAAAAAAAATAATGATAAGAAAATATACAATAGTAATAAAAATAATAATATAATCAGATTGTCGCGTAAGAATCAGGTTTCATTTTTTTTATTGCTATTATCTTTCTCTTACAGATATAAAATATTCAGACCAATTTTTTATCAAATATTTATCATGAAATAAAGTAGAAATGAAAAAAGAAAATAAGAATCAAGTTCTATTTCTTGATCGCCGTCACTTTTCTTGCAAGTTCAAAATATTCAGACCAATTGTTAAATATTTTTTACAAAGTAAAGAGAAAGGCTTGCAGAAATGACAAGAAGAAAAAGGATGAAAGCAGAGGAAAGCAGGAATATTTTTGATTACAGGTTTTTAAAAAAAATTTTAAATTATTGAGTTTAAAAATATTATTTTGAGACTGAGTTATTTGACCAAGCAGAACAGTAACAGTAAAGTATGACAAACTAAACTCGTTTTTCATGAGAAACTAATGATGATGTTTGTTCAAGCGTAACACACCATCTAATTAATATTTCTCCGTTCACGATATTCTACGATGTTGAAACCAAGTTGAAACTTTCATTCGCGAATTTCTTTATTTCGATATAAGACGCGTGATTCACATGGCTCTTTGTTTGTTTCAGTTCCCGATCGGGTTACGATTCCAGTAGTGGCGGAGATTCCGACAACGAGTACAACACGCCGACTTCCCGAAACAGTCAAGTACGAAGTCAAGGGCACAATCAAGGATCCGCGAACGGGTCAAGTCAAAGCCAAGGGAAGCATATAAATAAGGGAAGATGGACCAAAGAAGAGGTAAGAGGTTTCATCCTGTTTTTCTATCGCGGTAGTAATTACCGGTCACAACATTCAGCGTGCCAAATCGCTTCATTTACCCTAACCTGTCGACAAGTTAAGTATCAACTCAAGCTTCACCATGGAACACCCCAACTGATCCGCTCGGCGCTGACTAGTAGGCCGCTTTCACGCGACTTTTCCGCCGGGTTTCTGAGATCTAAATCGGTCGCCCGGCATGACGCAAGCGTCGCTGCGCCTTGCGGTATCGCTACACCATATCGGTTCCATGTAGCAAGTTGGATGAGGGCAAGGGAAGAGGAAAGGGGAACAAAGAGCGCGCGGATGCCGAAATGAAAAAAAAAAAATGTCCACCCTTCGTATTTTCTGCAACGAGTTGTGCGCCGTCGTGCCCGCGGGCAGATGCCTTGTTGGTCGGCTACCCTATGCCTATGGTCCCATAGAACATGGGGTGCACCGTGCGGGGTTTCACGTGGGAAAGCCGACGAGGGGCGGTCGATCTCTCCTATGCGCGCCCCGCGCTCGTCCCTCGTCTCACTGCGCCTTACCTTGCTCCGCCGCGTCTCGCCTTAACTCGTTGTTGTTGTTGTTGTTGTCTACATTCGTGCAAGTGTGTGCCTCTGTGTACGAATGAGTGTACGGAGAACACAGCGAGCGGAAAGTGGCGGCGGCGGTGAGAGTGTACTTTCATTGTTTCACTGTTCGTCGCTTGATTGCAGGACGCTCTGTTGAAACAATTGGTGAGCAACACGGACCAGCACGGCACTGGGATGCGGTGGGACGCTATAGCTAGTCACTTTCCAGACCGCAGCGACGTGCAGTGCCAACAGAGATGGGCGAAGGTCGTGAACCCGGAGTTGGTCAAGGGCCCATGGACGAAGGAGGTGGGCGGCCCTTTACTAGCGTCGATCCTCGAGCGTGAACACGTCTCGCCCGAACTCCGTCGTTGCTCGATAGTTTCACATCGGTCTTGGAAGAAGAATACACTGCTTAACGCGATGCTAATTTCTATCTATTATAAGTAGAATCTGTGACGAAGTAATGAAGTAAACTAAAATGTTGGAAAACACGTTGGAAAGAAAGTCAAAACACTTCAATCAAGAGGATATGTCCGGTATTTCTGCACCTTGCAAAAATAGCAAATATCAAAATTACTCGCTGATAAACGGTCAGTCAATAAATGTCTCCATACTGCGAGAGTCTCAATTATCAACTTGGAATTAGAATTGCTCACCGATAAATAATCATACGAAGAACCTAGATCAATAAAAAAGCCCGGTTCGATTTTGAACTTCAATTTGATCACATCTAATGGATGCAAATTATTTATCAACCAAGTTATCACCGTCATTCAAAAATGTGCGATTCTTCGCCAACTGGCGACTGGCTTTCACTTATTTCTCTGAAATGTATTATCGAAGAAGTCAATGAAATCGAACCGAGCTGTTTCATCGGCTCAATACATCTCGATAAGAAGTTACCCGAAGAGCGTTCTGTTATTGTTGTCATGAGACAATCAAGCATCGTATTAACGCGCCGCGGAGCGGTTACGTGTCGCAGTAGAGTTGCCGGGCGCCGGATGAATTTATCACCGCTGGGTGGTGTGTTATCGCCGCTACGGCACTGTGTACATACCGCCCACACGATGACGGTGACCGCACGCACGCACACGCACGCATACACATACACATACACACGCGCTGGGTCGGAGCATTCGCTCGCTCGCTTGATCGTTCGCGCGCTCGCTTTCTCGCTGCTGCTGCCTCTACTTCGGTGGGGTATGCAATAAGAAGAAGCTTCCAGGGGGCCGCGGTGATGCTGCGTCGCCGACGCGCCGTGCCAATGCACTTGGCAACAGCCAAGGGCAAGTAACGCGGCTCGGAGAATCGAGTGCGCGTACGTGCGGTTATGGTCTTTCTCCTCCGCCTCTCGAAACTCATGAGCCTTTAGCTCTGATCCACGCTCTTCTGTTGATTTTACATCTAATGTTGTCCTTTCTTTTCAATGAGACTTTCTATTTATGGCTTAAAACTCATAGAGGCTGTACAGTTAGTGGGAGGAAGTTTGCAACACTTTTCAATGAGTCCTGCCACGCATGTGTATCAAATATTTTCCGTATATGATCCGTATTTCTCTGTAATCCTTAGAAGATAAATTTTCCTATTGGATACCACGTGCATTCTGAAGTTTGTTGAGGTAAGAATGTTGCAATATTTCTTCCATTGGCTGCACGAAAGAGTTGCTGCCGAGCTTCAGAAGCTTTACGTTATGTCTGCTGAGTTGTATTTTGAATATAATATGTCATCTCAAAGTGTCAAAATGACAGATTAACAGAACAATCAATAGTCATGATGTATACACATATCCAGACGATTAGAAAGACTGACTCTTAGTCTGATAAGTGTCAATGCTTTATCGAAGCTTAGTATCTGTAAAAGCGAGCTGCAAAATGCGCCACGACAGCTCGAATTAAATTTTGAGTATAATTATTGACTCATGCTCGTATAATTGAAAAGAGCGAGGATACGAGGTAATGCGCGAACGAATTTAAAGAAAAATCACGTAACTCGATATTATGTTCATCAAAGTTTCCCTCATTAAATAGTGTTCAAGCAACTCTTTCTTTTGTTTGAAAAGTTTCTCTTTGTGTTACACAGGAGGATGAGAAAGTGGTCGAGTTGGTGGATAAATACGGTCCGAAAAAATGGACGTTGATAGCGCGACATCTGAAGGGTCGGATCGGCAAGCAGTGCCGAGAACGATGGCACAATCACTTGAACCCGGGGATCAAGAAGACCGCGTGGACGGAGGCTGAGGATAAAATAATCGTCGAGGCTCACCGCAAAGTCGGCAATCAATGGGCCAAGATCGCAAAATTGTTACCAGGCAGAACTGACAATGCGATCAAGAATCATTGGAACAGCACAATGAGGAGAAAGTATGAAGCTGAAGAAAAAAAGACCACGATTAAAGGTACGGCTTTTTGCAAGACTAGTCTCTCAATTTTTAATAAAATTTCGAGTTTTACAAAGTTGAACGATTCAAAAAAAATAAGGAAGAACACAGAAAGATGAGTTGAAACTTGCAGGTAGGGGCAAAAGGAAAAGCACGGAAGGCGTCATGGTGACGACCGCATACGTCTTGGAAGACGACAGCTCTAGCCAGAGTCGATTGAAAGTTGCCTCGACTAGCAGCAACTCCACGATGACGAGTGGTACCTCACAGGCTGCTGGCGTATGTCCACTGGAGTGGAATTGGGAGCAACAGCAAAATTCGGGGTACGAGCTTCATGTGAGCAGACGCACGCACGGCAACGAGAAGTGCGCGCAGTTCCCATCGAAGAGGGAATCATATCGAGTGAAGGACGAGACGATCTCGTCGTTCACTAAGTATGTTATCTTTAGGGTTGGAAAGTTGATGTTTTTAACATATTGCGGATCAGTCATTTTATTGCTAGCCATACTCAGTAAAGAGGACTTCCTATGTTCTTTTTAATACCTAAACTTTCTATGAAAATTTAATAGAAAGATGACAAATTATGTTACAACACGAGAATTCTCGTTATTCCTCCGCAATGTGCCAAGAGTAATTCATTACTACCACTATTCTTTATTTTAAAAAATTATTACTTTATTAATTTAATAATACTTCATCAATTTTGAAAAATAACTTGTCATTGTTATCGTTACTTACGAAGTAATCAGTCATTACATTTTCTGTTACTTTTTTCACCGAATTTCGAGGATCTTCTTTTACGATCTCTATGTGTATCTCATGTATTCTATATGTGCAAAATAATAGCAGAAGTAACGATATATTCGTTGTCGTCACCCGAAAAATACAAACTATCTCTTAAACATTCTTTTTTTCTGTGAAGATATTACAACCTTCACATGCAATGTGGAGCATCCGGTTCAAAGGGCTCGGAGATCAGATTAATGCCGATGCCAGACCTGGAGGAGATATCCGAGCATGTGGAAAAAGAAAAGAGTAGTCCACCACCTATATTGCGCAGACGCAGGAACATGCACGGTCTCGTGTCCAATCTCATGCACAGAACCGAAACTCCCGACAGCGGTAATCAGTCGGATTACATCGTTATGAGTCAACACACGCAGCCTGGAAACAGCAGTCCTTCAACTCCCATCAAACAACTCCCGTTCAGTCCTTCGCAATTCCTCAACAGCCTAAGCCCGGAAACGTCGTCCTGGCCACGTGCTAGCACTCCTAAAGGAAGTAGTCCTGGCCCACTTACGACCCCGCAGCCTACCGGTCTCCGTCGTAGTCAAAACGGTATGTTGTTCGGAAACATTTTCGTTTCTCTCGTTTCTTGTCACTACGATCATCTTAGATCAGGAGCGAAAAGATACATATTCAATAAAAGAACATGTCTGTAAAATAATTTTTGCGATGAACCGAGCAGATTTATATGTAAACATTTTTTAGAAACTTTGCTGCATTGATCAATGTATAGTAAAATGAATTAACATGACAAAGTTACACAGTTAAAGAGTTATAATTATAGTTCAGAGATCACGTTAATTTTACGTCTGCTTATTGACTGTTAGAACAAAGGAAAAGTCCATGCTTCAAAATAGCTGGCAATTAGAAGCCTTACTGCAGTTGTCAGTACACAACAAGTTTACATTAAAGTAAAAAGCCAAAGATGTTTGAGTTATTCTACAACAATGTATGAATGCACTTTGAAAGAAGAATTTTTGGAGTATTTTAGAAATTCTGTTTAATTTCGATCGCGTGTCACTTTACAGATATATATTTTTACTTCAAAGTTTTGCAAGAATATTGAGCGTATATTTGTTACTTCTAATGTATACCGATCAAGATAAATAGGAGCAGAACCTTGAAACATTTGTTTCTTCGGAAAGTTCCTCACCAAGACAGAGTTGTATAAACTCACTCGCTCTCCTCTGCTAAACGCCTCCGTTATTTTCGCAGATACTAACACACCGCGGACACCAACACCGTTCAAGAAAGCCATGGCCGAGTTTGAACTACGAAGCGGCACTACTACGCAACTTCCTGCCACTCCGAGCCGCCTGGACGCCTTAACCGAGATAATCAAGCAGGAAACCGACCGGGAGAGTCTTGCTGGAACAAGCGCGATTCTTCAGGACTCGGGCTACGGAACGATACGAAGACGCGGTAAAGAGAATAGTGCACCTGGAGGGAAACGGGCACGCAAGGCACTGTCTCAGGCTTGGGCCAGCTCTACTCAGGACAACTCCGACGTGAGTTACGTAGTGGAGACACCGGTACGTTAATATACATTAACCTAATGCGAAACGCGTCAGTCAACCGGTACGTTAATATACATTAACCTAGTGCGAAACGCGTCAGTCAACCGTGCGAAATCTAAGAGTAGCTTGTGTTAAATTTTGATTGAATGAATCGTCGATCAGTTTAGCCGGTAGAGTTACCACAACATGGATTGTGAACATAAGAAAGAAACCAAGTAAGAAAATTCTCTTTTTTTCTTGTTAAAGCTTATTTTTATTATTCATTATAAACTTATTATTATTATTTAAAGTCCATGTTGGTATTCATCTGATATCATATTTAAAATTATCGGATACTGTAAAATCTATTTTATTAACTACTTGAATAATCCTAAGATAATTTTAAATATAAGATAATTTTAAATATAAGATTAGAATATGAATACTGCTCCTGATTTCTTGCCGCGGTCATTTCGATTAACAATATCAGAAAGTTGAAGGACCAACTACTTTAATTGGAGATCGAGGTGGAAATGTATGCCAACCGCGTGCGATTATCACTCTCGACGGTTTCGCACAGCACAACTGTCACGACGTTCACTGTCGCGCGTTCGTTCACGTGAATTTTTAACAATGTGTACGTCCAAATTTCATAACGTAACATCCTAATTCTTTCGCAGAGTAAGAGTCTGGACACTTCCGTATTGTTCTCGCCTGCATCCATGGCTTTGGAAGACAGTTTCCTGACGGCAGGAACTAGTCCGGTAAAGGTAGAACAACCACATATCCAAAATGAAAATCAGTTTCACGTACAACCCGCCCTGTCCTGGTATTACTCCCGTACCAGTCGCCATTAGACACGCTAGCCAGCCTTCTAACTCTCTCTCTCTCTCTCTCTCTCTCTCTCTCTCTCTCTCTCTCTCTCTCTCTCTATCTCTCTCTATAACGCTATTTTCCTTCTTACTTTATTTTTATTTGTACTTCTAAGTTCGAGTTTTTGCTTGTACACTACCGTCTCGTACTTCTGTGCATCGTGCTTTTTATTCGTCGTTGGAGATCGCAATGTAAAAAAACGCAGGAGATACTCCTGAGTAACATCCCTCTTCCCCCCACGTATATTCTTTCTCTCTCGCTGCGGCTTGTCCGTATCCCCTCTCGTCGCCTCTATAATATCGCCCAATCCAAAGATTTATCGTTTTTTTTTAATGTTAATTTTAGGTATGGAGTAACACGACTAACATTTGCGGCATTAGAGTTCGCCTGAACTATAATATTTATTATTAACTTATTACTCTGCATTTTTACGCGTCCCTATACCTGTTAATTATTTATACAAACATAGCATTTTACTATTTGTAATTTTATTATTTTACATAAAACAAAAAGAAATGGAGAAATCTTATTAATTTATTATCTCGAGGAAAGGAAAAAGAACCAGGAAGTACACGTTGTACGTTATTGTATTTAATTAATTTTGACACGGTGAGAGAAATGTACTTAATTATTTTGCGTGTATTGTATGTACCTTAATGTTGTACAGGAAGTTTTCTTTTTTTTTTTCAATCTCTTAAATTGCTTATATTAACTATTTACACATTCCTCGCTTTCGGTGAAAATAAATTATTACGTTTTAGTCGTGTACATATTATAATCGGCGTATGTACGACCGATCTTGTTTCGTTTTTGTTTGCTTCGCCCCTCTTATTGATTTTGCCGCGAATGGATTTTGCATTTTAATAACAAGTGACCGAGGAGTCGATCGCGTCAACGGTCGGTGTGAATGCAATTAACACGTTCGAAAAAAAGAAAAAAAAATTTCTCGCGAGAGCACACGCGCGAAGGAATTTTCGATCTCACGTGTCCCCGCGGACGATCTGGGTGTGCGTGTTCCTGGTGTGTTCTCGTCGTCTCGAACGTGTTAAAAAAAGAAACAACGAAAGAAACATTCTTCCGTGCTCGGCCCTTTGTCCCTGCAAAGCAAGCTCTAGATTTATAGAGTAGCCCAGTGCACGAGAGAGCGTAATGTTTTATTATTTTATTAATATTTATATTTATATATTAATATATATATATATATATACTTACACAAATATATATATTTATATTTCTTTGTTTTGTATATGTATAATTTTTCTTTTTTGTAATACGTTGAGTTGACGCATGTTAATATGCATACACTAACTGCAAATTCACCCCTCCTTGTACAGGCCTGGCCTAGCGTACCAAAGTACCTCACGAACCTTCTCCCGAGTGACAATCCAAAGATATTTAAGCAGGGCGCATCGTCCGACTGAAAGAGAAAGTAAAAAAGAAGTGGAGAAAAAAGAAACTATCCTAAGTTTCACACACGGCGCGTTAATTAAGATGTTCAAGGCCTAGTCATTCCACAAATTGTGCGGGCACTTCTCTCGCTCCCCTCCCGCCCATCGTCGTTGAGCACGTTTAAAAAACGTGTTGATGAACGCTTATAGGACGTGCTGTCTCAGTACCTCGACAGCGAATTCTCTCCCCCCTTCGTTTACGACTCTTCAAATGTTATTTTACTTCCTTCCCTTTCTCCCTGCGAGATAATCTCGTTCTGTCTTTTCGCGAGTCTCGAGTCACCCCCTTCTTCTGTCGCCTCTGAGATCGACCTTTTTCGAGGCGCACAAAGCCGAAATTGATGACTCTACTAGAACTGTTTTTTTTTCTTTTTTTTTCTAAGAACGTTTCTTTTTTCGCCGGCTGTAGCTAGTGTGTCTATCCTTTCCAGAACTCCCACGACTTTACGTCCGTACAACGGAAGCCTAATGCTAAGAGGGCGATTACTTTCGACGCGTTCGACAGTCCCTGTATCCTCAGCCCTCTGCCTCTCAGGCCGGTTAAACGCGCCAAGGTGAGTTCTCGCTGTGATATTTATCTTTCTTTTTTTCTTCGAGTGAATGTAGCGAGAAACGCTTTGTTTCCAATGAGCTGAATCAAGTAAAGCTCTCGTAAAGTAGACTTGTATGATTGGAACTGAATGATGATGATGCAATCACGAGAAGAAGTCATCTGGGGCGATATTCGTAGTTCGATTTTATACATATGTGTTTAAGATTGTCTTAAATATGCCTTAAATCTATATTTAAGACTGTCTTGCTTTTGTGTGCTTTAAATATAAATCTGAGACACAAAAATCTTGATTTATATTTAAGGTGTTTGAGATTTAAGATTGTCTTGTGTGAATATGAACATTTTAAATAATATTATATACGTTATATTGAATTTATACACATATCTAAGATTGCCTTAAATTTGTCTTAAATTTATCTTAAGATGCTACACAGTGAGCAGATCGGTTCTTGTAGCACCTTAGGATGAACTCGAGACAATTTCAAGGTAATTGTATCGTGAAATGTATCTCTTAGAAATTTACTACAACTTGAGCTACACATTAATCAAAATCTTATCTAACTGCTTAGAAGGCAGTTAGAAGGAGACATTAATATTATACTGCTTGATATTAGTGTTTTATTCTTAACTTTTGCTTTCAAACTATATTCAAGACTTTAATAAAATTAAAGGTAATGTTAAAGCTCGATATGCAGACATTACGCAGAAGAATTATAAATGTTGATTACTAGATTTTGAAAATATTGCTGTGAAAATTCTTGCATTGTAAGAAGTAACTTTAGTATGTGTGTGTAGTATAAATAATTATAGCTAAAAGTTCATACTGGTATAAAGAAAATCAACAGATAACAATCATTTTAAAGATTATTGTCAGGCAAGCTTTCTCACCGATTTGCCTGAAACTTCGGTATATTATATATTTCATTGCGCAAAACACAAATATGAAAGTTAAAATCGTTGCTCTTAAGTAAAACAAAAGTTATGAAGTACTAAAATATGACAGTTTAGAGGTTAGAAAACGTTTCTTGCACACAAAGCGCACGAACATGCGCAGTGACGTAGTGCGCGAAATTTGAAATATAGTTTGAGAATATTTAAAAATATTAACTTTAGTTTTATAATAAAAAAATTGAATAGTACATTTTTTGGCGGGATTCGCGTTATTAAAAGATATCCATTTAAACACGTACATTTTAACAACAAACATTAGTGTCATCTTTAAGGTTAGGTTAGTTTTTTAGCGAGGGACAAAGCTACTATTTGTTTTATTATAAAACTAGAGTTCATGTTTCTAAGTATTCTTAAACTATAGGTTTGTTCGTTTTCGAAGAACTTCTAAACTAGTGCAAAATTATTCGTACTCTCACGCGTTTATATGTCTTTACACTATCAGTATGACAGATTTCCTAACCTCATAACTATCACTTTTCAGCACTTTATAACTTTTGTTTTATTAAAGAGCAACGATTTTAACTTTTATATTCGTGTATTTTTCCTTTTTGAGTAAAACATATTGTTTGGTACATTTTAAAATATATCTTTTACATTCCACTAACCTAACCTAATTCGAATCTTTCATTCTGTCGTGCAACTAAACTCTTGTAAAATAACATCGTCACAATACAATTATCTTGAATATGAGAGGATTTGACTATGAGAATGCTTTTACAGTTTTAAAATACACTTAAACTCCTTAGAATGCTTAGATCCTTAAACCCCCGAACCTCACGCTTGTTTTCCTTCGACTGTTAGCATAAGACTCTTAGAAATAGTCAGTGTCTATGTAGGTAGGCGTCTACTAGAGACGCACTGACAGTTAAAACTATAAGTTTACGTCAAAATCATCGATTCGCTCAAGAAGCTTTGTTTCTCTCGTAGCTACAATTGGAGGCACAATGGACGACAGTGGCGTGTGGTCGCACGCGCGATCAGATCGACATGACGCGCGCCGCTCGACGTTTCCTGAGCATCCATGGATTTCTTCCGTTGCGCCCGCGTTCGTTGAACTTCTGAAAAGGGAGAGGCGAAGTGAGAGAGGAAAAAACAGAAAAGGAGAGAGAGGGAAAGCGGGAAAATCCGGACGCGCTGCTTGCTGCTCGCGGTTGCACTTTGTCGTACAAAGCAAAAGATAAAGTTTAAACTAGTCGTAGGTGAAAATGTAAGGACGCGCGCTCCCGTTCGAGGAAATTTCACGCGCGACCGCGTTCGCCATTGGATTCGTCGTCTCCCGCGCGCTATATAAATTTCCCGAGGAATAATAAGTTATACGATGAATTCGACAAGTTGGGCTCGACGCGCTGGTGGATCAATTGATTAAAAAAGCAAAAAAAAGCAAAAAAAATAAGTTTCTCGGCGCCGTGCATGTGTCGTGTGACGTGCGACTCGTTGCGCGGCACGCACGACGTCCAGAAGCCGATCGTGCGTTGTAGTATACCGTCGCGAAATTTTGGACGCATCGAGTGCAATTGGTCGGATTCAACAATATATTGACACCCATATACGCGTACACGGACACCCTCACTCATTCACTCACTCACGAATACACACAGACATATATGCACTTGCGCGCGTGCACGCGAAGGCCACTGTGCTGTGTCCGTTGCGCCGTTTTCACCGAGATGTAAGAAAGAAAATAAGGAAGAGGTATATGAACTGAAAAGCGAATATTTTTCGACCGTGCTGGATGATAAGAAGTAGGCTATCGCATTAAATCTTTTATTTATGATTACGCGTGGAAAATTACCACGCCGGAAAAAAGAATGATCTTCATTGTTTTGTTCATCTTTGAATTTGGACGTGTGCGTCGGGAGAACGTTGAGTATAAATCTCTGAGTACGGGGAAAGAACTTACGAGTTTATCTCGTCGTATACGCCGCCGCTTCTTCGCACACCTCGCGTCACCATCCGCTTCTTGTCATCCTCAGGTGGGGAGAGTGAAAGGAAAGAAGGGGGGAGAAAGAGAGAGCAGATTTATTTGATACAATAGTATATATTATACGTAATATAAAACAAAAGCATTATTGCGGCCGTTATGTACAAAGAGCCTTTGTAACTGATATTTAATTTACAAGTGAACATAATAAAATCGTGATGGTAATCACAACAGAAACTACGTATATCGTTTCGTGTCGGAAGAAGAAGAAAGCTACCCGTTCTGATGCGCATAATAATCGCGTCGCGGCTGATGCGAGAAGACGCGTTTCTCATCAACGTAATCCGTTTTATCAGACAAGGTGAACATCTAACATCGATCGATAAAATCCTCTCGACAACGACGATATCAGCGAATAGCTGCCTGCGCAATAAAATGTAATAAACAAACCGCTGAAAATTTGCTCTTGTATAGTTTCTAAAGGAAAAGAAGAAAGCACTCGGTTCTCGCAACGGATGTTTGTACGAAAGAACTCCACGTGAAAACCGTTTCAGAGCTACACGTTCGACTTAAAATCAGCATCTCGTCGTTAGAAACGCGATATATTTTCACTAAACTCGATACAAATTCAAGGAGCCGTTGCTACCTCGCTTTCTATGGAATGCTATGGAATGGTAAAGTTCATTTCGCTGGCGGCACTCAGCCTCCCGCTGTAAAATTGCGCTTTGCCGAAGCAAGAGGGAATCTCTCGCAGAATTTCACACATCTAAAATGTAATAAATTTGGAATGGTTATCACGCGATGTGCAATCAGCTTGGAAAGGAAAAACGTTGGTCTCCTGGAGCAATTCGTGAAAAAAAAATACAAATTTTTTACACTTAATTCTGATTCAAATTCGATTTTGGTCGAGTGTGAATGATTTCGTAATTCACTTGTATTTGTATTGTTTAGCCCTAACATGGCTGTCACTTGTCTTTATCCTCTTTTCCTTTCGAAGTTGATTGCTCTTAAAATGTGTCTCGTCACTTCATCATCACCGTCGCGTACGAGCTTCGAAGCAAAGCCGTACAAAGTCAAGTGTCGCTGAACCGTCGTGTCGTGCGTCATGTAAAAGAGAAAGATGTGTATGTGTGTGGGTACAGTAGTACATGCGTGTGATGGTTATCGCCTCACATTCACGGTAACTGGAAATTATTTCATATCAAATAGCGACAAGAGAACAGCAAGATATATAATCGACGCCGCGACGACGACCCGTCGCGAATATTCCATCTAGATAATTGCGTTACACAGAGTTACGTTAAAACAGATTACCTAGGTTTACATTACGTAGATCAATATTCATCAGTATCAGAAGAAGAAGAAGAATGCCTCTCGGGAAAAAACGCGAGCTGTGTACAGTGTGTGTGTGTATGCGCGCGCGTGTATATATATATATATATATATATATATATATATATATATATATATATATATATATATATATATGCGCGCACACAGTAAAATCTGTCACATGCACGATACTTTGCGATCCGTCGAGAAAAGATACTTTTTCTTCTCTTCCTACTCCCCTCCCCCTCCCCATTATTCGCTATATCGATATTTCGTTATTGCATCGTCGGCACGTGCCACCCCGGTGTATGTGTAAGAGAGAGAGAATTCGTTTTTGCGAGGAGTTTTCACATTTACGAGGGAGAAAAGGGTGGACATGCATTGCCTCGGAAAGAAAAAGTGAAAATCTCGAAATTCGGAAACAACTGGGACGATCTCCCGGAGAATCAATTACCGAGACAATCTCCCGAAATACAATTTGCCCGAATTCGCGCTCGACTAGATTACGACTAAAGCGTGAGATCGTCTTGAAAACGGAATGCATCGCGTTCAGATGAGAGACAACTTTTCTACGCGGCGACTCGCGTGAACGGAAATGTTATAATTCGGCAAAAAGTTCAAATTTCGCTCATACGTGTCTATGTATGCTGCAGGATGTTTAGACTTATTTATGTGATGCGAGAGGTTGTTCGAAGTACATACAATTAGTTAGGCCCATCGACTCTCGTCTCGATACGATACAATTCCCGCGTGTGAGTTGGGTCAACGGCGCCTGCGCGAGGAGAGATCACATCTCGACGATAAATTGCGCGTCGTCGACCAAGTTCCAGCCCTTATGCAAAGTCGTCAACACGCGGGGTATATTGAAATAGGGTAGCGCCGTACTACAATGCCCCGAAAATCGGAAAAATTCCGAGATATTCTTGTAACTCCATCGCCCACTCATGCGCTCTCCTCTCATCCTGAGGGCTTGGTCGATCTTTTCTTTTTTTTTTTTTCTTTGCTTTAACGATTATTTCTTTCAACAATTCTCTTAAGTGTAATTAGCTATCGACGCAGTTGCTATTTCGGGAATAAGTATAGCTAAGATATAGGAGAAGTATACATAAATTATATACGTATGCAAGGATCCCTGAGGACTCGCCGCGCGGACATTCATCCACGGATTCCCTGAGCGATTTGGAGTTCGGTTGTTTCATTGATTTCAAAACACTTCATCGTTAATTAGAATAATTACGTATTCCTACGTTTACACTGTGACCTAGAATCGATTCAGCACACATATCTGTATTTACCTGATCAACATAAAATCGATTTAATAATGTTTGATACTGCTAGTATTACATATAACACATGTCTCAAAGACATCTTGAAGACACTCACAGGATGTCTAAAAAAAAAATATATAGAAAGTCTTTGTGACATACGTATGGTGTGGGATACAGGATAATTGAAACAATAGTGACAATTATTAAATCAGTTCTGTGCTGTCTATGTAAACGTAAGAATATGCGTGTGTTAATAAACGGTTTTAGGTTGCTACGTAAACGCAGTCAGTCTTATTTATCGAAATTTTAAACTACCACGACATTAAACTCTGCAGGCATCTTGCTCCAATGTCGAGTCTACCTCGCGCGACGTCACGTTTTGTTCTGACTCTATATAAAAAAGTAATATAAAATATAAAAAAAATAACCTTTTAATCATTAATGATATATACCCAATACAAATGTATCACTGTAAATACGTCGTTGCATTAGTTAAATGTTAAAATTAAATGCTGAAACGTTATTACGCGATATTATCGCGAAGTAAATATATTTCCACAGATCGGTTGGCAAGAAAAAAGGTCAAAAAAAAAAAAAACGAGCTAACGTCGCAGAGGAGATGAGAGAAGATACCAGATCTTGTTGAACATCGTTTTTTTGCCAAGAACACATTCTACTCCAAATGCATTCAAGAACACGCGGCTGAAAAATCGCGCGATGAGTCCGGGCTATCCGATACAAGATAAAAATGTCGAAAAACCAACTAATAACAGCAATTGCGATCGGCGATCGTAACGTCGCAGTTATGATGCGCGCGAGAAGGAGCGGCTACGAATTGTCAGCGAGCGTCGATCGCTTCATTAATCGCCGCTCTCGATCGCGATTCACGACGAACGGGCGCGGAACGAAAACAAGACATCCGCGCGCTTTCGTTGACGAGACTCGCGCTGATTAAACGGTCCGCGTCCGCTCGGATGCCTAGAGAGTTGTATTACAGCATATCACAAACAATCGCAAGAAAAAATGAATTAACTATTAATTTCGACGACTGCTTATTACAACACTGGTAATTCGTCTTTTTTTCTCTCCGCGTGCTAACCCGTCAAATAATGTTCGGTCACGTCAGAGAGTACCTTAGAGTACCAATAAAAATGCAATTCGCTACAAAAAAAAAAACAAGAAATAATATCTGTCTAAAGTACAAATACTCTCTCGGTGTCGTCTATAGAATTTATGTATGTGTGTACGTGTGATCTTCTTCCGCCGCTTGCTTCCGACCGATCAATTGTCTTGGCTAATCGGTCGACGGATCCGTTGGACAACACCTTAAACTTTGGTCTTACTTACTGGAGGATTGCTCTTCCTCGCCCGTGCTACTGCCGCCAGCCGCTTCGTTCAATAATTCCAGGTCTGCAAGAAAAGAAAAAAGAACAATGAGGAAATTCATGGAGGAGGATCATTCGCGATCTGTGAAATGCTACACGAGTCAGCGACGGGATCGCCTCACCTGGAGAAGGGGAGCCTTTCACTCTGCAGGTGTTATAGCTGCCGCAATTTAAACACTTCAACCCGACCACGTGAAACTTCACCGTCGATTCCTGAAATAACAAGCGGGGGCAACGCTCCCGTTAACGACTCGTAATCATTTTCACGGAGGGGAGGGACAGAAGAGTTTCTCTCGGCGCTCAGAGGCGCCTCTACGGATGGATGTAAACGAGTCTGACCTCGTGGCAATCTTTACACAAGATATCGGCCTTGTAGTCGCGATACTCCTCGGGCATCGGAGTCAGCGACACCTCCGTGTCCAGAAACTTCCACAGGTCGGTCATGTCCAAGAGCGACACTTGACACGTCGGGCAGGCGTAGTGGCCTGAGTGCAGCAGCTCCTCGAAGCACGTGCGATGAAGTAAATGCCCGCAGTCGGGAATGTGACACGGTATGCGACTCGTGTGAATGTCCTCGAGGCACACCGGGCAGTTGGCGTGCGACACGTTCTCGATGCACTGCGGAAGGTCAAGCTCGCTTTTAGCACAGAACAATAGTAACTCGCTTTTAATGTCACTGTATGATTGTTAGCGATACTTCGTCAAGTGTAAACGCGTCCCGAATGCTTTACCTCGTGAACATGTCAAATACAGTTCCTCTGGAAGCAAACTTGAACGTAAAAGGGAGTGACACACGAGAGTCCGACTGTAGTATTTCAGTACATAGTAGCAGTATATTGTAGTAGACTATTAACTATTTAATAATAACTAGACGTCGATGTTTCGGTCAATAAACGACCCTCTTTGTGTGCTAACGATGTGCTAATAAAAACGACGGGATTCTTTTATAGAATATTCTCGTCTCGTTCATTTCTTTATTCGTTAAAAAATAATAATTATCTAGTAAACAATGAAATAACAACAATGTTATATCACATTACTATTATTTCATGTTTACTAGATAATTATTATATAGTTACTGGGCATCTTTTAGCAAATTATGCCGTCTGGGTTATATCGCACTTATATATTGTTGAGTGGATAATTATGATATTAATGCAATGGAAATTATAATGTTATTTGATATTTACTGGGCATTTAAGGCTTGTGGCCCCTCGCATTGTCTATTTCTTTTTAATGACGTCAGAAGCGAGAAAATGCGTACTAAAAATTTTTGCAAAATATTTTAAAATAAAAATATATATCCATAAAGTAACACTTGCAATCGATTAAACAAATTTGCAAGAAATTCCGTGCACTTCCCTTTTGCTCTAATAATCAATAATTTATTGTAAATTAATCTGAATAGAAATAGGTAAAAAAATAAGTTAAGATGAATTGTATGTTAATTTACGACAAATTATTGATTGTTAGAGTAAAAATGGAGTGCACGGAATATTTTATAAATTTAATCGATTGCAAATGTTACTTATAGATATATATAGATATATATATAATGTTACTTATAGATATATATTTTTATTTTAACATATTTTGCGAGAATTTTTAGCATGCATTTTCTCGCTTCTGACATCATTAAAAAGAGATAGACAATGCGAGAAGCCAGGAGCCTTAATTTAATATTTGAGGCTTTCGCGGTGTGGGTAAGTTCTAGTTTTGATTTCTGAATTGAAGTCGCGTTTTTTGTGCGTTTGTTTCCAACATCTTGTGAACATTTTAGTTCTGATCAATATCAAGTCGCTCATCTCCCTGATAAAGTGGAATGAAACAAATCCACGAAAAGCAAGCTCCAATCCGGACGGCAAGTCTAGCAACGACTGTTTGGTTTCAGCGACTTCTCGAAGGTCACCCTGTATCTCGAGTAGCCCGCCGCGCATTGTATCCTACCGTATGCCCATTCCTCAACTGAACTGGCAAGCACATGTTGCACTTGGCGCAGTGGAAGAATCTGTCGCGACCGCCGACCCTGCATATGCCGCAACCGACGCAATGGTACTGATTCTTATCCTCGTCGTCGAAGAGATTGCACTCGAGGCACGTGTACTTGCCGAATCGGCAACGGCAATTTTGACATTTGGCTTGTACTGGCTGACGAGTGTCGCAGAGGACGCATATCAATTCCGTCACTTCTTTCCTGTTGACTGTGTGCGCCTCTTGCTCGTCGTGGCAAAACCGGCATGTATAGACCTTGTTGCAGCACGGAGTCTGCACACAAAAGTGAAAGTGTGTGAATATTATTGAGAAGAACAATTCACCAAATAATAAAACGTTTTGTTATTGTTGCATTGCTATTATTGTCACTATTTTATGTAATTATATTGCTGCAACTACTATATTGCCGTACATTTGAAGTACATCCCAATAATCAATGATACCCTAATAGCACAGATATCCACAGGACATCCTGAGGATATTCTAAAGATGTCTACAAATGTTCTCAGGTCATTCTTAGAAAATCTTGTGCTGTTAGGAAAACATTACATCAATATTATAGTTTCCCCACTCAATAATATGTTACCTACATGTGTTATGTTACACTTACACTGTTAAGTAGGCAATTATAATATCGGTGTAGTGTTATTGTTCATTGATGTTTACTGGAATATAAAAAAAGGGAGACAATGGAACGAGGTGTTTTGCAAACACTCAAAATTTTCGACTTAAATAAAAATCTCGTAAATATCGGGATTTCTCCCGTCAACGATTAAAATTCGTAACAGAAGCCAGAGTAGACATTATAAATTATGAAAAAACGATCTCTTGCACAAAAAATTGCGATGAGGAATTATGATATCGGCGTAACGCTACTGTTGGTTAACGTTTATAGGATGTTTTTAAAAAAAAAATACAATGAGACAGTTTGAGAAAAATGCGTCCCAAGCTTCGATTTCAAAGATATCGAGATTTCTCCCGCCAGCGTTTGAAATTCATAACGAAGCGCAGAGGTGCAAAGATCACCGAATAGAAAATGATTTCGTCGACAAGCGTGATCGATGAATCTCTGGCGAGGAACGTAGTGGCCTGCGGAGTCTACGCAGTCGACGACACAACTCGCGTCCCCGCGAGAAGTCTTACCACGAACTTGGACTTCCGCTTGTAATGCTCGCAACCGTTGGGGGTTGACTCCTTGGGTGACTCGTCGGGCGACTTGTCGCCGGAGTCGGACGCGTGGTCCACCTTGTCGTCATCCTCGTCGGCATCCTCGTCGGCGAACGAGACGCGGATGTCCTCCGCGGCGGAATTCCTATCGTAAGTCTCGTCGTTCGCCTGCATGCTGACGCTGCCCACTTGGCGTTACCCACTGCTGCGTCTGGTCGTCCTCATCGACCCGCGCGGCCTCCCGTTCGATTAGCGACGACGACGGTGCATCTCGTCGTTCTCGTCGTCGTTACTTGCCGCGAGCACAGCGTCGTGCAGCCCTCGAGTGTCACGCGCGAACGGTTCGATATCGTCTCGGACTCGTCAACGTACTCGCGAAACGTGCGAAAGGTATCGACAACAACTCTGCGGGCGTAAACGCGCGACCTCGAACAATGCGCGAAACACAGAGCAGATCTCGTCGACGAGAGACACGGGAGAAGTCGATTCACGATCGCGCACGCACGCACGCACACGCCGCAGCCGATTGCAACATCTCACGTCAACGCGACACGACGACGACGACGACGTCGATCACGAGTCAGGGCCACCAAACTGAGAAAATCGCGGGTTTCACCTACAGTCGGTATAGTCGTGATCAGATAGGTTGTCCGACTTCTTTTTCATTTTATGCAGGATTCACACCTGCATCGTCTGACCATTCATCATCAGACTCTTTTTGTGACTTTAGGAACATATCTATCTTGCCCAATGAGAGAATCTGTCTTCCACTGGCACAGTTCTTTCATTGGACAAGATGGATATGTTCCTTATGGAGGATTCACATCGCGTCCGATGTCCGACGTACGACGTCCAATATTCAATAAAAAAATAGTTTTTTAAAGGAGAATTGAATTCTATATTAGAAAGCTGTTCTCCTATTGGATATCGAACGCGTACATTGGACGCGTATCCATCTTGTCCAATGGAAGAACTGTGCCAATGGAAGACAGATTCTCTCATTGGACAAGATAGATACGTTCCTAAAGTCACAAAAAGTGTCTGATGATTTGTCTGTTGCGATTGTACACGTAGGGCTGTTCATAATCAGATCTTATATTTAAGACCGTCTTAAGTTCATCTTTAGATACTCCATAGCTAATAAAATGACCCAACAGCATATGAAGATAAATATCGTACGTGATATATTTTTATGAATCAGGGCCTTGACTATAATAGGCTCTGTCTTTGTAATGTGATTAATCAGTGTTTTATTCACAGCTTTATTCTAATGAGGTTGAAGAGGTGTCGTAAATGGGTGCATTCAGAGAACTCAATAGTTGCACAACAGTTGAGCAACTCGTTAATGTAATTGGTCTAGATTTAGGGATCTAACAGTAAGAACCAATAATCGCTGAGCGTTCACTGAGCGCTTTTTCCGCTGAACGCGCCCATTATTTACATTCCCTCTTATGCAGGATTCACACCGCGTCCGATGTCCGATGTACGATGTCCGATATCTAGGTTGCATTCCAAAACGTCCTTTCCGAGGAAAATTTTACTCTTAAATCTATAGTGTATGTAACGTGAATTACAGATTTAAGAGTAACATTTTCCTCGAAAAAAATGATTTGGAATGCAACTTTAATAGGAGAAAGCTTTCTAATGTTCGACTGGCTCTGGGTTAACCCATTCTGGGTTATTCAACCTACGTTTATTGGTCGATCAAGCTTACTTGATCGTACTTATAAGTTTTATGATTGGCTAGTAGAGACTAAAGGCCAAATCACACTAACGATTGGCGATAGATGATTGACAATTGAAGATTGGAACTTGACCAATTGAAACAAAGAAAATCAAGACTAAAGCTTGTTGATTCGTTAAAATCTAATCTTTAATTGTCAATCGTCAATCGCCAATCGCTAGTGTGATTTGGCCTTAATGACATCAATAAGTTCCGATCTACAATGGATATAGTAAGCTTTAAGCCGTAAGAAATTGACCAATTACAATAGATTATTCTTCTATAATTCGACTATGATTGGTCAATTTCTTAAAGCTTGAAGTTTATTACATTTATTGTAGATCGGGATTAATCGCTCTCGGAGCGATTGACTCAGGGGTGCGTTCAGATTCCTCATCCGGGTGCACTATATTACTAGAAACTATATTACTATAATATATGTGACATATACTATAGCACTTCTAGTAATAGAATACACCCGGGTGGGGAATCTGAACGCAGCCCAGAGTGGCGATTCCTGACGGTATGCGAATGAAATGCGCATACGAAAATCTTATAGTTCACGTTACGTAAACTATAAATTTTCGCATGCGTATCATTCGCATACCGTCAGGAATCGGCCTCAGTGCCAATCGAACACGCTATAAAGGCTGGTTTATGATGGCCGTAATCCGTTAACTTAGAACGCAGTATGAATGGCTGCGTTTAGAAAACATAGCTGATCAGTGTGCGGTCAGTGATTATTGGTCCTTATTGTTAGATCCCTAACTTTAGACCAATTACGTTGACTAATTGCTCAATCGTTGTGTAACAGTTGTGTCTTCTGAACGCATCCAATCTTCCATTAGACGTTCCACTGACAACTGCATTTCTAATTTTCAAAGGGCCCGGGAACTTTTGGCCGGTAGTGTACGTGTGCGACGATCGTGCGCTTTGCGCCTCGCGACGACCCTCTCCCTCCGTCGTCCCCTCCGGTGTGTACCTTCGCGCATTCGTGTTAATCGCGCTACACGACGCGGCTGTCAACGCTGTCAGATTTCGTGCTAGTCCGTGCGGGATTATCGTGGACCTGCGTCGTCGCCGCCGCCGTATCCCGACATATCTCGCGCGTTCCCTCCTCCCCGATCGGACGTGGACACGCTACACAAGACGGAGGCACAGGTGGAGAAATGTGAGACGTCCTCGTACGAGGCGGACGCGTTCTCCAGCGAACTAAACGAACGTTCGTGTCGCGATGAGCCGCGGTTATGTTTCTCGATGGAAAGCGGTTTAACGACAATGGCGGCAATGTCCCCGTCGAAGGTACGTCTCGAGAAGGCAGCGCTTTTTACGCGGACTTCTCTGTATATCCCGGGCGTGCGGCACGGCGGCTCGCGAGGCATCACGGGTACTCGTGATATGAGGGGTCGATGAAAGGAATCGCGCGCCGAAGACTTGGAATCCAAGGGATTCCGGGACGGACGGACAGTCGGTCGGTCGGTCGGTCGGTCGTTAGAAGCGCGATGTAAAATGCATGCCTTCGTGAATCGAAGCGCGTTTGTCTCTCTTTTGCTTCTCTCTCCCTCCCTCTCTTTCTCTCTCTCTCTCTCGTTCTCCCTCGTTCTCGTTCTCCCTCGCTCTCCCTCGCTCTCCCTCGCTCTGGTATATGTTGAAGGCGAACGATTCCTCGAATCGTCGTCATACCTGTACACGGGCTCGGGAACAAAATCGTTTCCTGTTGTCGATGTACTATAATTATGTTTACTTTCATACAGCATACGCGCATTTTTACACTCGGAGTATACGCGGAGAATAATTATTGACATTTTGTTTTTATTATTTGTTTGAAATCCATTGAGAAGGGTCTGAATTGTAGATAAAAAAACGCGTGTTCGGAAAACTGAATACTATATACATATTGCAATAAAGTGGTTCTTAAATATTTTCTTACTTGACCTTTTATTTAACATTTCTATTGGTTTGATATTTGAGGCTTTAATAGTGTATAATTATATTTACTTATACATGAATATGTACACATTTATATACAGAAAATATGTAGAGCGAATAACAATTAAAGTTTAACTTCGATTGTTTATTTAGAATGCATTGTAGAGGTTTTGAATTATGGAGTAAAATGTGAATTTGAAAAATTATGCTTATCATACTGAAATATTTGTTAAAAACTTGTTTATTTTGCATATATTGACATTTTCACTTAATTTTTCTATTGATTTAATACTTGAAGCTTGCAGCGTATAATTATATTTACTTATTCATGAATAGGTTTATATTTTTTACACTTGAGTTGTACAGAGAGAATAACTGCAGACATTTCACTTTTATTGCTTACTTAGAATCCATTAAAGAGGTTTTAAATTATAAACTATAACATGAATTTGGAAAATTTATACTTACTATACTAGCTGTACTTTATACTTACTGTACTATATTAACTCTTAAACTGTACTAAGTAACTCTTAAATTTTTTTATCTGATTCACAGCCTTTTTATTTAACCTTTCTATTCATTTGAGATTTTTACAGCCCGCAATAATGCAACATGTTTTAACTTCTAGATTAAAGTTGTGTTTTTTAAAAATTGTTTTCAATGTTTCTTAAACATTTCAGTTTACTTCATCTAAGGGGAGCAACCTGATATTGATATTAATACTTTTTATTGATCGTTCATTTAGAGTCACCATTATTGCATCATGAATCAGTCTGTTATTGTTTATTCTTTTGTGATTAATTATTCTTGTATAATCTGAATTATTAAATCTGTAGTATGTTATTGTACAAAAGATATTGCTGTTATATCAAATGATTCTCTTGGTTGGGTGTATTAGCGGAGACTCCAGAAGGAATTGATGTCCTTGATACGTGAACCACCGCCTGGTGTACACGTGGACGGAGAATTAGCTGAGCAGAATCTGACGCAATGGATCGTTCATATGGAGGGTGCTAAGGGCACGCTGTACGAGGGCGAACGGTTTCAGCTGCAGTTCAAATTCAGTTCCAAGTATCCCTTCGACTCGCCGGAGGTAACGTTTATAGGTGGAAATATCCCGGTGCATCCGCACGTCTACAGCAACGGCCACATTTGTCTGTCCATATTAACGGAAGATTGGTCCCCCGCTCTCAGTGTGCAGAGTGTCTGCTTGAGCATTGTCTCCATGCTCAGCAGTTGTAAAGAGAAGGTAAGTGTTTGGCCATCGAATATAAGCAAATTTTCACGTTAATTCAGACTACGTAATCGAGACGATTCCTTTGCAGAAGAGGCCACCAGACAATACCTTCTATGTAAAAACCTGTAACAAAAATCCAAAAAAGACAAAATGGTGGTATCACGGTGAGTTGTGCTACTTCAGAAATTTTACTTTTATTTTGATTTAATTTCCTTTTTCCAAATAGATTATAGCATTTCTTCACCTGCAGAATAGATTCTAACATGTTTTTCTGTTTGCCCATCAGATGACAGCGTCTAACGTAGAGAAAGACTCCGCGAAGATGGTACCAACTCGCGTCAACGTGGTGGGATCGTCGGACCAAGGGAGCTCATGTATTCAGACTGAGTCTGATACGTCAAATTAATAGAAATGTTGCGCGTATAATATTATATAATGTCGCATTATATTACGGGAAATTAGATGTGAATATATCAATATCAACGCTTTCGCTAAGGCAAAATTCGGCCGAAAAGCGACCATACAGGTACGGGCGTTACTGCAGTCGCGCTCGCGCGTAGCACGCAGGGTATGTTTCACGATGACGGCGACTAGTCGCTCTCAGTAGCGGAAAAAGTTGAGAAAAGACAAGGCTACAACCTACTTACTACTATAATGACTACTATAACGATAAAGTTAATTGTATACCGCGCGAGTTGTTCAGACGTAAATTATTGCGATGTTGCTAATAGTGATGCATATTATAACTATATTAAAGTTAACTAACTACTGCTGGATTAGCGGATCTTTATAGAGAGAAGGAATGAAAGCCGCGGACGACAAGTATATTAAGACACACGAAGGAGCACGGAAGTTTCCCCCCCTACCCCCCTTGTTATTTGCGGAGAGTCATGTGACGCGCGTTGAAATTATTTCGTATACCTAAGAGAGATCCACACGAAAATGTATTAGACGCCGTTTTGCATCGCACACTTGCCACACGTGTTCGCTATAATACGCTGTCATCTTGCACTGTGAACGACTGACGTCGTGAATCATTTTTTCTTTTCGTAGAAAATTCGAAACAGCTTCTAGAGTATTTGTGTCGACACTGGTAAAAAGGTGTTACAGATTGCATCTAATAATTATTATGTATATTTAATATTCCCAAATTTTTATTTTAATCAGTAAATATTTAATATATATATGTGACATATGTAATCATATATATATATATACATATATATATATATATATATATATATATATATATACACATATACATATATATTATATTTATATTAATCAAATATATATATATATATATATATATATATATATATATGTGTAATATTTATATACTTACTATATATATATGTATATGTATATATTTTTTTTACTAGTATCACATTTTTTTTTTCTTTTGATTTTGTCGTTGTTTTCATCCACAAATATAGCAACAATAATTTAACAGCGCGTGTTTCTAGTGTTTAGTACATATATTTGGCAAATATATATTTTCACGTTGTTCCTTTAAGCGAGATAACTTTTAAATTACGCTTTTATTGATACAACGTCACGTTGCATTTATTTGTTTTCTTTAGAAAGCTGTCGGGCTATACAATTTAGAATTTTATGAATGTTAGCAAATGAAAGGAAATGTACGACGGAAAGACAGCGGTATTGGCGACCGTGACATCCATCACGATTTCCGTTTGTCAATCGACACTAATAGCTGTCGTCAAGTGATTCGCGCATTCGTAGTTTTAAGTTTGCATTGTTGCTTCAGCCTAGTACATAGCTGTAGTTAGCTCTACTAGTAGCCTTTGAGTTTTTGAGAATTAAGTTGTAACTGGCTTGAGCGTTATTCCACGTGAGAATAGCGTAGCGGCGTTTTATGGCGTGTTTTAGTTTCAGTTAACAACACCGCGATGTCGATGATACAGCGATTACTGACATATATATGCGGTCTAACGATAATACTTATGAATGTTTGTTTCGTGAGTCGTTTGTAATTACATACATATGTTCCGTGCAAGAAAAACGTTTTGTACACTTATTGAAAAAAAATGTGCATTGTACGTCTCGATAACGTGTGTGAGTGTGTGTGCATGTGCGTATAATATTAAATTCCATGGTAACTTTTAATCACTCCAATCATTAATTAGCCTCGTGTACACTTATATGCTCGTTTTGTTTAGTCAGCTCCTCCCGACGTTGACGGATTAGTCGAACGGAACAGAGTGCGCGTGTTCTGGAATAATTCGTTTAACGTACTGCAAGATTTCTTTAGTAGTTTAGCTTCGCGCGATGAGTTACAGTTCTATCTTTACTCTCGGATGTCGCTCAATCTTGGTTAATAATAACAATATGTGGAACGATGCAATTAAGATAAGCTGTCTGGAGGTTATCAGCGTGATCCTACGAAATCTACAATTATACTCTGACGATGCCATCCGCGTCGAGAGAGAACTATTTCAATGCGGAATCAAATATACGTTGGAATTTAATATTCTAAGAAACTCGGGACGAGTAACTTCAGCTATATTAACGAAATTGCGTTCTTTCGCGTTCTCGTGTCTTGGAAACCGAGAGAAATAGTTGAACCATTTTTACCTTTGAGTGGCGATCATGTAATTTTTTCTTAGACGCGAGAAAGTAAAAAATAAAAAGTTTCACACAACGATTTAACGATTTTGGCGATCATGCAACTTTGCAAACGATGGAAATATAAAATTTCTCACGTGAAACTTTTTACTATTTACATTCATTGGGAAAATGTTATGTGATCACCACTCTGGATAATAATTGTATAATATTTCCATATACTGAGAGAAAAATATCTAAAAAATAAAAAATATTTATCCGGTAGGTACTAATAATATATTTATTTAAATATAAGTTCTTTTATATTTTTAAATAGAATAAACATGTTTTCATGAAAAATTAAAGTTTTAGGAAAATATGTATTTTCTTATTTGAAAAATATTTTAAATTGAAAAGTATATTAAAATTATATTAATTATATTATAATAAAAATATTTTATATTAGTATAAATACACTGAAAATAAATACTTGAAAATTTATTTGTGGGATATAAAGTTCATTTTTGTGAAATAAAATTTATTCCTGTAAATATTTTGTATTCCACAAATAAATTTTAAAGTTCTTAATGTAAATATGTTATTATACTGAGAAAAATATTTAAAGAATTATTTATGGGATATAAAGTTTATTTCTATGAAATTAATTTTTATCCCACAAATAAATTTTCAAATATTTTTTTAGTGTAGTATCCCCATTGAATAAATATTTTTTATTACTTGTCCCTCTCAGTGTAGGAAAGAAAAGTGGATATTTTTACATGAATTTGGCGATTTTAGCAATTGTATAAGTTTTTAAATTATGAAAATATGGAACTTTCATGTTTTCGCATTTGGAAAAAATTATATATCTGCCATTCTGGAAAACGATCATAAATCTTTTCTTCTATGTAAGCTTATGAAAAGTGAACATTTTCAAATATTTTCAAGGCAAAAAATTTGTATTTTTCATCATAGATGATCGAAGAATTCATGATCGATTTCCTGATCTAAAGACTCAATCAATCGCACAATCACAGGTTGATTTCAATGTCGGTATCACTCGAACTGCATGGATCTCGAGAAGATAACCAGATGTGCCGCGTTCAAGTGAGGAGACGCAGTTTAATCAACGTCAAGAGGACTAATATTGATATTTCAGTTTAACGATTAAAACGACATACCCGGGACAAAGTTCTCTTCTCGCGCGTTATTCTTTATCGTTGTTCTAACTGCTTCTGATTTGTTTTGCAGTTCGTACCTCCTTCGTGCGACTGCCAAGTCGATACGGCCGCCTGCACCTACCTAACTGTACGTTCTGAGAAATAACTAAGTGTTCTCCAATTATTCTCGATTAAGATTTCCCAAGAAATCACTGCGAGGAACAGATCTCTCGTGCACCCCAGCGTACGTGCGTAATACGGATTTAGTATAATTTTTAATAAAAAACAAAAGAAAAGAAAACGTGAACAGTAGTAATCGATAAGAGTATGTTGCCGCATGGATACGGGCGCCCTTTGTCGCGATTGCACACGTGTGTGTGTGTGCGAGAGAGACGACACACAACAGCGAGATACATATAAGTATAAATTAGAAGCGAATCAAAAACAAACTTACTCAACGGCGATACTTTATGCATATAGATTGTATTACGTGTATACATATACATATATATGTGTGAGTGTGAGCGTATGTGAACGAGCTGATATCTATCTTTGTCTGCTATTCCGACTTTGGATCGAGCCCAGGCGACGACGTTAATGTAGTCTCGGAGGGACACATCCGAGAAATATTAAAAACATTGTACGTATACGTGTACATTAAAAATACTACACAGGGTGCGATTTTCGTGCAACCAGGATGGCAGTTTCTTATGCATGGAAGCAAATCGAATGTTGTGAATTTGTTTACGAATTTTATAAAATTTCCCAACATTGACGTGCACGATGACGTTTATAATGACATATCGCAGAAATCATGCGGAACTTGTAGATGATTAGAAAGTATTATTAATTTTTTAGATTTTAGAAGATTGATTTCCCTGAAAACACAGTCTTATGTAAGAAAAATTTAATCTACTCTTTTGAATCTCCCTCTTTATTTTTTTGTATAGAATTTGATATAACTAAAATTACGGTAAACACACGAATCATTTCAGTTCGTTATTATTTCTATTACAATATTTTTCTTTTTATTTTCTATTATTTTCATTACAGTATTTTTATTTGATGTATATTTATCTACAAAATATTTTCTATTTATCTACAAAAATTTTGTTTCATTTTGTTCTATTTGTATCCTCTTTTCAAAATAGTATTGCCCGTCAATGAATAAATAAAATAAAATAAACGATTATGAAGTAGAAATACATTTGCGCGATTAACATGGTATCGCTGGTTGCGATATGAGAGTTTCTATCATTAACAAGCGCGGTCACATAGAGGAAGATACTGATTGACATTGAAGCAATTATCATCTCTTGTGCATGTATTGGTGTACTTATCGTTTATGCACATATATTTTTAATAATATTGCGACACCACTGCGCGTTCACCACGTTTAATCACCTCGCTTTTATTTATTACGTAGAATCACGTATGCAATTCATTTGTTAAGAATTAAAATCTGTTCGATTCCGAAATTGATCGAATAGAATACAATCTCTTCCCACAAGATTAATATAGTGATAGATGTACAGATTAGTGACGCTTAATTGCCTTCGCTATTTATACGCGATAAGTAGGAGCTCTAATTAAATGGCACCAGTCTTCGTCGTAATATCAAGTTGACGTTAAATCTCATGACTTATTACGATGTAATTTAGAAAATGACGTGTTTACAAACGCTGTAATTGACTTTCTCTTCTCCAGGAGCTGTGATTTCTGCTGAAGACATGCTGTTGCTACGTGATTCTTAGTCTGAAAGAGACTTGGCTTACTGCCCACTGCATTTTTCAAATACAGTTTAAATTATATTCCCTTGGTAAGTGCAATGGAAAAGTGACGACTTACAAAGCCAAAATTTTCGTTTTGCATTTTTCTTACAAATTCTATTAAATATGGAAGGACAATAGAGAATTTCAAAATTTAATATTATACAGGCTACCCAGACAGCACAAACTACTAAATAATATCTTAAAGACGCCCAAAAGATATCCAAAAGGAATAAGGACATCTTTTGGACGTACTTACCCAGTGAGAAATGACTTATTGATCGACGTCGAAAAGACGTCGAATCGACGTCTATTTGACGATTTTGACGTCGATCAATAAGTCGTTTCTCACTGGGTAAGATATCTTTTAGTAGATTGTGTTGTCTAGGTATCATTACCTTGAAGGAAGCGAAAGAAAATCAATAATATAATAAATATATCTACATAAAAATGAAATAGCTTAAAAAATAATAGATTGTTGATTAACAATTTTTATTTATAAATTTAAGGTAGTAATTTTGATTCAACGAAGAAGAAAAATTAAAGCATGAAGTTTTTTATTTATTATAAATCATTAATAAAATGTAACTTTCCTGAATTTAAAGAAAAAATGCGATGTTTATTTTTTATTTTTGATTAACATTTATGAATATTTAAATAATTAAGATTTAAGATTCACTCTTAGAATGTTAATGTTTGTTAATTCTTTCAAGAAAATTACATCTATCTTTTATGATAAAATAAAAAACTCGCCGTTGAGTAGTACTACTTGATAAAGTGAGAGGTGTCCATCTTATTGTTTAGTCATATCACTTAATTTCTTATTTAGAAAAGTAGCGTCTCGTAGCGGAGACTTTGGAACTAATTTTAGCGTCACACACAGAAATAACGGGTCTAATCTCTTAGACCCTTTATTTACTTACTTAACGTTCGATCGGCGGGATTTTTCGTAAATCATATACAAATTTGCAACACTGATGCCAAAAATGGATTGCGGTGCGACAGTTGTTAATAACGTTTCCCTCGAATCGTCCCGCAATGATACGTTAATGTGGTTTGCACGATGATTGATTATTCTGGCTCTAGATTTCTGTTACTCAGATTTCGATTGCTTATTATTAGTGATCCGTCACTTTTGCATCCTATTTTACTAATCTTATTCTTCATTCTTTATCTACAGATATCTCGAAGACCTTCCGGTTTCTTCCTCTATGACTCAACGCGACTTGCAATTCGCGCTGTAACAAAACAGCGCAGATCGGAAATATAAACGCGAATCTTTAATTGAAAGATATTGATGACTGAGATGATATATCACAAAAACATACGGGGGATCACACGATAAGAGGAGGAAAAGATCTTGCGTCACCGCTGGCGGAAGTGCCCAGTCATCTGCAGAAAGAACAGGGAACCACATGTCCGCGAAAAAATAAACGTGCAAACGCAATATTTTTGTAAACAACGAGGGCTCTTCTCGCGAATATCGTGATCGTAGTCGACGAAGAGAGAAAGAGAAGTTAAGAGTGAGAGGGAGAGAAAAGGGAAGAGACCAAGAGAGTGGGAAATCGCAGCGCGATTTCCAAGCGCGTTCGAAGTCGCGACTGCAGTTGGTTCCGTGGTCAGGATCGAACAGCGATAACGAAGTCGTCATCGCGCCTTGCACTTTGAAATCCCATCGACGGTCTGGGAACGTCAACTAGCTGTGTCGAAACTTCCTGTCGCATACGATACGACCGCAAGATCCGCTTATTCTCCGACGAGTTGCGAGCACTTGACGCACTGAGACAGAAGTGTTCGCTGTTTGTAACTATAATCGCACGGTGACAGATTTAGAGCCACTTTTATCAAACTTTATTGAAACCGTTTTAGTAACCTTGCAAGATTCCTTCTTCAATAGCAGCTTTTCAGTTGGAATCCCAACTGAAGTTACTAAAATGGTTAGTTTAACTGGAGCTTGGTAAAAGTGACCCTTATAGTCGAGAGTATCATTTTTGTAGTGAGTGTCACTGTAGTGCTAGTGATAACGATTTTATGTGCTGCTATTATTTTTTAATCAGGTGCAGAACAGAAAGATATAGTTGGCGTCGAGAATAATTATAACTTTGGTAGCATTAACTGTTCTTTTCTCTCAGTGCGTCGCGTTGCAAAGAACACGTACACTTCTACAAGCGAGTGAAAAAAAATTCATTTGCATTTTCATCGCGATTTACAGTGTCCTCGTCATAACGAGTGATGACGCAGTGCGCATGCGACATGTTAAAGAATCAGCGCGGTCGGAGTGTGACACAGAGTTACCGTGTCTCGAATTAACGTTACCGTATATCAGCGGATGCGCGGCACGACGTAGCGCGAACTTTTCTGCATTTTTTTCCTCGTCCCGCTTTATCTACTTTCCCTCTCTCTTCCTTTCTCTCTTTCGCTTCGTACAGAGACGAAGAGGAGAGGACGAGTCGACGCGCGGCGCTTCCACGATTCCACCTCCAAAGGCACGTTGTCCTTCAGCAGCCGCGTGGCGTCACCGCCAACACTAGTCAGCAGTGTCGTAGAATCAGTGGAAGATAACCGATAGCGGCTGCGGCCGAGGTCGCGCGTGTCCGCGTCGCCGTCGTCGTCGTCGTCGCGCAGCATTCTCGCGAAGAGAAAGAGCGCGTTCCTGTTGAACAGCGCGACAAGTTTGTGGTGGCTCGATCTTTCGAGAAAGGATCGGTGTTGTTGTGGCATACAAATCGGCGAAGACCAGCGGCAGGTGACCGCGAATGACTTCTCCTTTCTACGTCGCACCCGCGACCTCGATCACCAGTACCGTCGTCATCAACGCCGCCGTCACCAACCGCACGACGTCGTCCTCGCGAACGGCAACGCCATGTCGTCGTAGATGGATACGGTGTTGACCAAGTGACCGGCGATTTGCGCGATGATTCGCGCGAGGTAATCTTGCACGTGAGTCAGCCGATCTTTCCTTCTGCGAGAACGTGAGCCCGTCGTCGGCGATCAGTTCCTGGGTGCAGCAGAAAATCAAAAATCAAGATAACGTCCAAGTGACAAGAGAACGATCGAATCGTGATCAAGAATTGAGTCTTCGCCGTCATTTTCTCGTTGTTTCCACGTCATCATGACATTCCTCTGCTCTGTCCAGGTCGCTTCGCGGCGGGCTCCCGGATGTTCCCGAGTGGCGCGCACTCCTCCTCATCCTCAGATCGAGCTCTTTCCATGTCTTTTGTTATTGTTCTTTTTTTTGCGAATGTTTACTCGGGAATCGCGGATTGTTGAATTTGCAAAAAGTGCGGAAAAATTTCCAGACAACTTCTGAAAGACGCCTAAAAGAAAATTTAGACTGCTTCAAAACTTTTTTTATGCGTTTTTAAGAAGTATTTTTAAACGATTGGATTCTATTAAATATTTTCCTAGTTTTAGTGGATAATTTAAATAGACTTAATGTAATGTATCACAATATCTGTGCATTGGATTACTGGCTTTTACTTCCTTGAGCTTAATTGTGAATCAGAGAACCTGAGTTTCTCTAATTCCTATTTTTAGAAGACTTAGTAATTTGCGCGTCTGGGCTGCGCATCGCTGCGATTTCTCGCCGAACTCGGTTCACACGCAATAACGATCCCGAATCTGCGAATAATAAGTGAATATTAAACTCGCGCGCGTCTGCGTACAGCAGGAAATTATACCGGTTTTATTGCGTTGGTCATGTTACTAAGAGAGGAAAAAAGAGTGAGAGAAAGAAAGATTCACATTGGACGTGTACTTTCGATTTGATTATTCAAGTTGGAGCCTCCATGGCCGACGTGTGATTCGTGAGGACAATGCGACGAGTTTTACACCGAGTCGGAAGTGGCGGATAATTTCTTTCATGAACGAGTCATGTGAGATTAATCGGAAATGTACCGTTCGCCATGTAGATGAGCGGTCGTACATGGAATGGAACGTGCAGTTTGTTCCGCGGAAAAATATTTCTTCGGCACAATACAACAATATGGCGGACGGACAAGGCGAATAAGTGTGATGCTACGTCGTACGGTGCTCACACGTAAATTATACACGTTTAAGAGAAGTCGTCCGAAATAATTGGTAAGCGTAACTGGTTTACCGAGAAGCCGGCTCGCCGCACGCGAATTTTCATACTCCGTTGACGATGACGGTGGATTATTCGTGGGTTTCGTTTTTGTCTGTTGTCATGACGCATACCTTAATACAAGATGCCGGATCGACGTAAATTCTCATTTTAATTCCCCCGAGTATGTCTCTCTTTCTTCTTCTTCATTTTCTTTTCTATTTGTATCTTTTTCAATACACGGAGAAAAAATATTGTAGTAAAAATCATACATTAAAATTATATTCCTTTTGCTTTTTTGTTTTGTAAAACTGGACTATTACTTGGATTTGTTGTATAAATTGTAATGCACACTGAGAAAGAAATACTTGAAAATTTATTTGCGGGATATAACGTTTATTCGTAGAAATAAACTTTATATTTTACAAATATATTTCAAGTATTTCTTTTTCGATATAGAGATACTACTAAAGTTAATGCGATTTGTTGACTGATACGATATAAGAAAAAACATTCAAGTAATTTTATAGTAGTAAACAAAGATATAGTAATTTCAGTTATAATTTTCTATAGTCTAAAAGATTACACACAAAAATATCTTTGTAATTTTTTTACTATATTTTTTCTCTGTATATTTCCTTATGTTTATCTTCATATTTCCCCTCCATGCATGCACTTACTATTTATTTGTATGAAAGAAAGCTGCAATATTTCACCCTTAACCATTCTTTTCCTTAACCCAACCCAACCTAACCCAACCCAACCTTAACCATCCTTTTCCTTAACCATCCTTTTCTTAATCAAACCAAACCTAACCCAACCTTTTTCTTAACCATCCTTTTCCTTAACCAACTTTTTCCTTAACCAACCTTTTCCTTAAACATCCTTTTCCTTAACCATCCTTTTTTTTAATCATTCTTTTCCTTAATTATTTTTTATTGCTCTTTCTCAAATGAAGGTCGCTCTTTCCACTTGGGGTGAGTATCTTTGCGCCCTCGTCATTGATAACCACCCCGCTATTCGGTACACCTGTATTATAGACTGCGACCTGCGAGAATGTCGTGCACGCGAGTTCGGTGAATCGATCTCGTCAACGATACGCGACAATTTGCGCGGTAAGTCCTCTTTGTGATCCACCGAAAACTGTGATCTCCAATAATAACCAGTTTCGTATTTCGATACTCTCGTTGGATCGTCACCGTCAAAAACGATGTCGATGTGATCGGAAAGGACAAAAGAAGATAGAAAGAAAGAGAACAGACAACTGGATAAAGAGAAGGAGAGATAGAGAGATAGAGAGGGGAAAAAAAGAAGATATTTTTTCCGAAGACCATCGTGGCAAGGGATCACTCCGGTCTATCGTAGGCCGCGCTTGGTAATTAAAAAATTTTAATTAAACCGCCGAACGCGCGAGAGTTTTAATTAACGATCTACTCCGTAAATCAAAAAGCACTTACTATTTATTATTATTATCATTTATTATTGCTATTACTGTTTATTATCATTAATAATACATTTACAGTTATTTATAATTTACTTATTAGAGAACACGTCCTATAATATTAATAAACATTTTTATCTTCTTCTTTCTCTCTCTTTAAATTAAAGATTTAATTAGACTTTTAAACTCTCAAAAACGTTGAAAAAATAAGCGGTTTTCAAGACGTTATTTTGAGCCAAAATTTCCGGGAAAGCAATCAATCGCCAATTTGTGAGATCATAGAAAAGAGCTCGACGCGAGGAGAGAAGGAGGAGGAAGAGCACATGGATAAACATTATAACAAGCGCTGTCGTGTCCCGCGCGATATGGTCGCAATGCGAAATTGCGAAATCACAAAACGCGATCCTCCCGCGAACTTACATAATGCATTTTTCGCGATAGTCGATTCGAAACACATCGAGGGCGGGGAAGAGGAGGAGGTCCGTCTCGGAAAGAATGCGCGGTGATTCATAAGCTCCGTGTGCCGAACGCGCATTAATTACTTTGATTATTAGTGGAACATTTTATCGAGCTGTGTTGCTCCTTATCGCTTATTTTCGTTCCATCTCCCTCGGGACGCGATTATTAACGCGTGCGCGTCGAAAAACATCCGTGAGCGACGACGCGCAACGTGTCCGAGGACGCGCGCGTCACGTACAGACATTAGACATGTTCTTTGTCGCTGCACTACTGCACTAGTGCGATAAGTCAAAGTGAGAAAACATATATGTGTCTCGCTTTAACTTATTGCACCAGTTCAGCAGTGCAGCGAAAAAGAACAGGTCTCTTGTTTCGCCGTGCGTGAAAATGGAGTGCAAGAAGGATATCGTTGGAGTGTTATGTCAATGACTCTCACGACTTATCGAATTTGATTTTTAATCTGCATATTTGCCCGCGGCTCTTATCGTCGTTATTTGCATCGCGCACGCGCGTCGCTTTTGAGCGATTCTCGATTGTATTCTCTCTGGATCTATTGCTGAATTATACATATTATATTACTGAATACAGACGACACTCAACAGTGGGTCTGTTTTCTATTGCTGAACTAGTGTACACTTTCGGAACTTAAAAAAAGGCAGATATACAGATAAAATTTGGTGGAAGAAAGATGAGAGAGAACTATTGCAGCCAGTTTAGCAATAGGAAACAGACTCATTGTTGAGTGTCGTCTGTACTTGTCGATGTTTCTCTTTCGGAGGAGTTACGCGAATTATCTAATGCACGATCCTAGCGCTTTGAATCTTTTTTGCGGGAGTCTTTTTGACATGGGGGAGGGAGAGGAAGTGCGAGTAAAGGTAGCGAATTAAGTAGCTATGTCGACAAAGCGACTCTTAATTAATATGATAATTAATATGATACCAATAACATTTGCTTGTACTAATATACGTATTTTTACATTGGAAAAGAATATTTCTTTCAAGTGTGTGAAAAGAAAAATATATTTTTTCTTAAAACACCGTTCTTTTGATGAAAAATCAATTGTTTATTCTATTGGGACAAATTTAAATTGAGAATTCTATTGAGAATTTAAATTTATGTAAACATTTTTTATTTTTCAGTTATTTCTGCTCTCAGTACACTATCACTTCTTTTTCTCTCTATTAAGTACGATCATATATTTTTATTATCAGTTATAATTATTAAATATAAATATCGATACATGTAAGGCATCGAGATACCTAGATATTTAAATTCAATCTTTCGTTGATCCGTTTTGCACTGAGGAAAACATCTTGGAAAATTGATTAGTGGGACATATATAAGGTTCATTAATAGAAATGAACCCACAAATACCACACAAATAAATTTTCAAAGATTTTTTTCTCAGTGTATTAATTAAATATTATGTGTACATGATATTCTGATATATTGTGCGTTGTTTTTCCGCTTGAAATGCGCTACTATTGTGTGAAACAAAGGCCAAACGCAGATGCGTGCGTCCGGTGGCGTTGATTAGAAACGAGCTGTCTCATTCCTCAATGACTCTACGGAACGGCCGCTAATGATGAATTTTCATCGACGTTAATGACTCAACTTACACTTCGTTTTTTCCACATATCTCATCAGAATATCAGTGCGCTTGACCGAGAGAACATACGGTGATCCAAATCGCGGAACTCGTGTTGAGCCGAACCGATCGTGTTATTAGATTAATCGGCAATTGACATTTCCGTTGACATTTGACAAGCATTTGTACACGTCATTTTCTCATTTCGATTACGAAATATACTTTCCTTGAAAAATACAAGGAAAAAGATTTTAATATCTACCCGGAGGAAATTTTTCTGGAAAAAATGAACAATCATTGACTGAAAAAGGAACATACTTTTTATCAGCTTATAATATATATTTATATCGTTTGTAACGTTAAAAGGAGAGGTAAAACATTTTTATACTGTAGTAAATTTTTACAGCATGAAATTAAAAATATATTTGAATAAAATATTAATTAATTACGGTAAAAAAAAAAAATATATATATATATATATATTCTAAACTTGATAAAAATATATAGGGATATTTATATTATGTATACGAATTTTTTTCTTGTTTTGGATTCAAAGAGAATATACGAGGCTATATTTTTCGTGAATGCAAATATTACATGAATATATATAACATGTTTTTCAATACTTATTAATTATATATTGTTATTCCTTATTAAAAACTAAGTCGGAAAATTTTAATAATTTTTCTTTGCGATTCTATATAAAACAGTGATTATTAAGAATCGCAGAAAAAATAGTTTAGGTACTTTCCACCTAAATTTTTTATCAGGAATAGCGCTATGTAATTAATAGGCGCCAATTAAGAATGCGTTACATTATACAACAAAAATTTTCTCCGTGTAACGTGTTAGTTTATTGTGGCTCCTGCAGATAAGCCGCGACAAGTTCGCTACGTGACAAGAAATAACAAGATGGCTAATTAACATGTCGGTTTTCCATAGGAGTGAAAAGTCAATTTACTGCGTCGCTTGTTATCGCGTCTCATCTCTGCGGAAGCCACAACCTGTTAAGACGAAGATGAAAGAGCCGTCACGACAAACCCGTGCAGAGAACAAGAGAAACCACAGCCTTCGTTCCTCAACAACCCCACCCAGCTGTCGCATGTGACGCATGCTGGCACTCAAGTACCATCTCGTGCTTGCTTTTGGACGAGTTGTCCGATTCAGAGATGTCAATATTGAGAAAAAATATCATATCCAAATATATTTGTCAATTTTGAAAGTACTCACATAGATATCGAATGAATAGTTAATATATTGAATAGAATATCGAATTACTTTACTTTTAATGAAAGCTATGAAAAATCTTTGTTGCCACACTTTTGATTTTAATACGGTAAAAATTGAAAAAGAAATATTTTTTATTGTATTTAAATGGAGATTTATTAAAAGGCAAATATTAATTTATCAAAATAAAATGTGTGTTGCACGGACATAGAGCTATATGGTATATAGAACTATATACCAATATTGCGCAAAAATATATAAATGAATGAAAAACTCAGATTTAAAAATAAATTAAAATTACCAGAAAACAGTGTTACGTTTTCAAAAATGTTTGATCGTGATCAATCAAATGGCTTACTGATAAGTTTTACTTTATACGAAATTTTATGTGCCAATTTAACTGTTAAATTATACACACACTGCGAGAAAAAAAATTAAGAAATAAGAAATCTTACAAGCTTTTTTATTTCTTAGATATTTGTTCTCTTAGTATATATTAATCTTCTCATTTTCTGAAATACACATCTTTTCTATGAAATATTCTCTAGAATTTAAAAGCATCTCTTCGATCTTTTATTCATATATTTTCTATTAAAAATTTTTATATCAAAATTGAAATAATATGAGATATTGTGATGAACATCTCTAGTAATTGATAAGATTTTCTCTTTTCTCTTTCTTTCTTTTTCTTTCCCCCACGTAGTGCACGGGCATGGTGACATTGATACAACAGCAGCAAACGCCGGACGACAGCCATCAGTGCCAAAGCGAAGAGCAGAAGCGTGAGGACGGCGCTGTAGTGCCGGTCAATAATCACGCATTCGACTTTCACGACGTGGAAGAGGAGGAAGTGGAGGTTGCACGCAAGGCGAAGGAGACCGCGCTCGTTGTTCCGGGCAATGACAGTGTTGGAGATTCCTTTACGCAGTGCAGTGACATAGATGACGACGTCGAGGATGACGAGGACGACGAGGAGGAGGAGGAGGAGACGGACGTGGAGGAGGGTGGCGGCGGCGGCTGGGTCGCCAATCTGCCGGTACCGCCGACCGCTATCATTCAGCAGCACCAGGCGGTCACCACTGCGAACGGTAACGTCGTCTTGCCGAGCGCCGACCCGTCCAATTTCGGCGACGTGTGCGTGAAGAACTCGACGAACGTGCATCTGGGTAACAAGACTTTCTACAAAGGTCCGGTTACTATCAAGCAGTTCGTTTACACGAACCCTGCTTTGGTCCAGGATGAGAACAAGCTCGAAGCTGCCAGCCATGCTTTCGATGTTAATATATCGGACTTGCCAGCGAATAAAGACGACGTGGGTGCCAACAGGCCGATTCTTCAGCAGAACAACGAGTTGTATAAAGGTAGTTAGCTAAGGATGTAAAAATATCCCGATAAACACTATTAATTACTTGTTAATATATAAATCTTCGCTTCAATAAAAATATGGTTATATTAAAAAATATTGAGATATTTAAAAATAGACAAATATATTCATGTTTATATATTTTTACAATTATAAAATATAAATTTAATTTTATAATTTTATAAAAATATATACATGAATATATTTTTTACACGAGATATAGTATAGTATATCATCAATACCTGAAATTATTATTCATCAAAAATTGGATGTTATTAATCGTTAAGAATTTAATATTTTATTCATCAACCATTTCATGTTCTCCATGTATTCGAATTAAAAAAACACGGGAGGCTCCAAAGGAAGAGAGAATAAACAAACACACGTAAATTCAAATGATCTGTTACGAAATCTGTTAGCCCTTTCGTAACAGATCATTTGAATTTACGTGTGTTTGTTTATTCTCTCTTCTTTTGGAGCCTCCCGTGTTTTTTTAATTCGAATACATGGAGAACATGAAATGTTTGATGAATAAAATATTAAATTCTTAACGATTAATAACATCTAATTTTTGATGAATAATAATTTCAGGTATTGATGATAGACTGTGCTATATCTCGTGTAAAAAATATATTCATGTATATATTTTTATAAAATTATAAAATTAAATTTATATTTTATAATTGTAAAATTATATAAATATGAATATATTTGTCTATTTTTCAATATTTCAATATTTTTTATAATATAACCATATTTTTATTGAAGCGAAGATTTATATATTAACAAGTAATTAATAGTGTTTATCGGGATATTTTTACATCCTTTCCGTGAAATTAATATAACAGTAGTATGATGATAAAGCCGACACTAATTACACGAAAAGAAGGATGTAATGGGGCTTATCACCTAATCTCCCGGAGAATATCGTGCAATTGTCGCGTATACAAAGTGGCGCATACATGGATAAATATCAGATATTTAATTAACGAGTTAAGAGGAGAGCGCGAATTTGATAAGATAAGATTGACATCTTTAATGTGCACATTTGTTCTGCATTGCGAAATATTATCAGAAAGCAACGATAACATCCGCATATTTATTTTCAAATTATCATTCTAATCACTTCTTTCTTTATTTAGATATAAAATCATGCATATTCAATCTATTTTGCGACATCATAGGGACAAGATATATCTCAAATAAGCTTCGCTCATTTATCCTCAATAATCAAGCAATGTTAAATTAAAATAAGAATTAATTGCAATTGATAAGGATAAAAGAGCGGTAGTAAGTTAGTTACTGTTTTAGTTACACTATATATACTTTGCATATAGATAAAAAATTTTTCTAAAACCAAATGATTTATGTTAATGGTTCGAGAGTTTTTATTGGTTGAATACTTAACAAATATTTATGCTTTTAAGAGAAGAGACTTCATTTCTTGTTTCAGAAACACGTAATATGTCCGTGACTAGAATTTAACACGCGTGTCTAGTCACTCGCAAACGCTCATTTTCGCTTCGCATGATCGCGCTTTGACTAAGCGATTAATGTAGTTTCGTCAGCTGAGATGATAAACTCCTGAAAGGTTATGATAATGTAAAGTTTTCTCCGTTTTATCCGTGAGTCTTTCGACACACATTGCTTTTAGTTAACACAGTTCCAAGAAGCTTCTAATTCGTTTTTGCTTGAAATAATCATCATGGTAAATATGCATAATCCCGAAAAATCAAAACCCCACAATTCGGGAACAACATCGACTTCAACTCCGAAAAGTCACAATCGCGAAAACTATAGCACAGGCATAATTTCTCTCTTGAAATATTGAAAACATGAAATTGTTCTACAAAGTTGTATAATAAATCACTGATAACTTTACGCCTTTAATATTTCGGGAGATTATTCCACTGTACTCAATTTTCGGGATTGTGACGATTTTTGTGGGACGTTGTTTCACTTTTATAGTTTCGCGATACCTTCTTTTTTAGGATTATGCATCTACTATCACTATTAGTGAATATGTTTCGATAAAAATCAGTAGGAAAGGACGATGATCCACTCACAAAATTTATTTCTGATTTCGATTATCTTAACAAGAGCTGATGTATTTTTTAACGACGTTTGAACGCGGTCGAATTGCACGGGAGCGTCGCGTCATCGAGTTGCAAGTTTCGAGATTGTGACGAAACGAACATGGTTTATCGTTTGGATTGTTGGTTTTGTGATAATTATGTCAGAATATATAACAGTGGGTGATTATACACAGAAAATGATCGATGATCCATGTTGAAAGTCCCTCTTATTGAAACCTCCGGCCGCGTTGTAAAAAGAAACGAGGAATATCAAACACAGTATGTAATGAAATTCACGAAACCTTATATAAGACACTTTTTCTTCTCTCTGAGAAAAATATCTTGAGTGTAAAAAGTGATTATATATAATTGTATAGACATTATATATAATTACATATGAGTTAAATATAATTATATATAACTCATATATGAGTTTTGTTTCTGTATGGCTATACACATAATTATTATTGTTTTTATCTGTCTCTTCATTTCCATTCTCATCACTTCTATGTCTTTTTTCACTACCTTCCTCATTTCCTCAACATCAATGTCTTGAGATACTTAGCGCACGTCAAGTGAAAATTGACGAGATCGCGAGAGGAGGTTAATATTAATTATAATGCAATACTCTGTTGTGTCGCGCGCTTATTCGCATAAATCTAACTGTTAATTGCTATTGCCGCTACGTGATGTCAGTTTCCCGGCGCATCCCGACTGATCTTTAACGTGGCTTTTGTCATTGTTTCAGTGACGCAATGGCTGTGGACATGGAGATGCGCGGCTTTCTTGTGTATTCTGGCCTTAATACTAGTGACTACTGTGGTGGTGTGCTCTCTGTATCTCACTCGTCGCACGGACACACCGCCCGCGCCGATTTTCCCGGCAATTCCGGACTCATCGATCGAGGGTAATTATCCTGTCAGGAAAATTCTCCTCCAAGAAGGCGCGAGGCGCGAAGGAATATTAGATAGACAGACAAATTTGTAGACGGGAGGTTGACGTTATTGCATGCGTCACGCTTTCGAAATCACGATGTTCGCATCATCTCCCGTTTATCCATCACATATTTTTGCATTTAAACTTTGCTTGTTTGTTTGAACGTGCATGGAAAATACGTAGAAAGTGCGTTCGTTTCAATTATGAGTCTTCCTGAAGTCGACAGAGCATGTGTATTTAGGCGTGATTATTTGTTTTTTATTTGTATTTTTAACTAGATGAGAAGATATTTTTTAGTAGGTACGCGTAAAACAATAAAAGAGAAAACCAAATAAAATACAAAGCAAAGTAGTAAAAATACCAATTAAGTTCTTCTTAATTTAATTTAATAATTGATGGAACAAATATATTTTAATTAAACCAATTGACGATTGATTTGAGCAAAATCAATCGAGGAATGCTTAATATTTTTACCCTTTTCCTGATCTATCATGTCTAATTATATTTCCTTACTTCATTTAACAGGTGCCATGTTGTCCTCTCATACAATAATATTCCATTTCTATCATAATCTCTATCACAATCTCTGTCTCTCCTTTCAGCACATCATTTTATCTTTCCTCTTTCTATCCAATCTCTTCACTGTTCTCCATATTTCCTCTTTTTCCCCAATTTTCTTCTATATTTTGTTAGCTTTATTACATCATTCTCTATACTTCCTAACTCGTTTAGCTCACTTCATGTGGGCTGCGGCTTGTCGTTTACATATGTCAAATTACCAGACAAATAGCTGTCATCGCATTGGTTAGGTCACAAAAAAAAAATACAAAAGAGATATGTCTCTCCCTGTCTCTCGCTGTCTTTCCCTGTCTCTCCCTGCCTCTCCTGTCTCTCCGTGTCTCTCCCTGTCTCTCCCTGTCTCTCCCTGTCTCTCCCTGCCTCTCCTGTCTCTCCCTGTCTCTCTCTGTCTCTCCCTGTCTCTCTCTGTCTCTTCCTGTCTCTTCCTGTCTCTTCCTGTCTCTCTCTGTCTCTCCCTGTCTCTCCCTGTCTCTCCCTGTCTCTCCCTGTCTTTCCCTGTCTTTCCCTGTCTCTCCCTGTCTCTCCCTGCCTCTCCTGTCTCTCCCTGTCTCTTTCTGTCTCTCCCTGTCTTTCCCTGTCTCTCCCTGTCTCTCCCTGCCTCTCCTGTCTCTCCCTGTCTCTCCCTGTTTCTCCCTGCCTCTCCCTGTCTCTTTCTGTCTCTCCTTGTCTCTCCCTGCCTCTCCCTGTCTCTCCCCGTCTCTCCCTGTCTCTCTCCGTCTCTCTCCGTCTCTCCCCGTCTCTCCCTATCTCTCCCTATAATTATTAATTAATTAATGTATATTTTAATTTAATTTAATTTTAATTTTATTTTTATTTTACATTTTTTATTGTTTTTTATAGCATGCGCGTAGCGTATTGTTCTAGTTCCTAATAATTCCATAAAGTGACTCATCTCCTTTTTTCTTCATTTCCTATATGTCTTCTTCAGTCATCTTACATTGCCAAAAAGTTTTCTATATTTCCATATTTTTCTCTTATTCTTTGCACTTCAATTTTCTTACTTGCACAACATTTGTTCCATCAGTCCTTGTGTCATCTTTTTTTTATATACCTTTATTTTGTTTCAATATTCCATCCGATGACGCAATGCATTCTCGAACGTTACTCGGACGCGAAGTTTCTTTATTTTTCATTTTATGTAACTTCTTCCTCGTGATCATCAGGTGTCACAGTGTATTCGGTGCGCTTCGTGGAGAGGAATGAATGGATCGCCCAACCGCCCTCCGTGCCTTTGACGAAGCTGAAATTGCCGGTACCTTATGTGATCATCAGTCACACCGCTACAGACTTCTGCACTACACAGTCCGACTGCACATACCGCGTGAGACTCGCGCAGACCTTCCATATTGAGTCGAAGAACTGGTCAGACATCGCCTACAACTTTCTCGTTGGAGGCGACGGTCTCGCATACGTCGGCAGAAGCTGGGACTATGTCGGCGCCCATGCCTTTGGCTACAACAATCGCAGCATCGGTATTTCCTTCATCGGCACCTTCAATAGTGTCAAACCGCCAAAAGTGCAGCTGCATGCCGCGCAGAAGATCATCGAGATCGGCATTGAAAAAGGTAAGATCGCGCGTGATTACAAGCTCTTGGGCCATCGACAAGTCTCGAAAACCTTGAGTCCTGGAGAAGCTTTGTATAGCATCATAAAGACGTGGCCGCATTGGGTACCCGCTCCTTGACCTAAATAGCGTGCAAGAGTTTCCTGCGCGAAGGAACGAGATCGCGAAATGACTTCCGGTCTCTTGTCCATCTCTTTTGGATGTAAAGGCGTGATTGTCATGTCTGTTTATTTGGTAGAAACACGATTCCGGTTTTAGTGGTAGCTGGCTGTGGAAATGGTTTCTCAGTAAACTATTAAATGTCGGTAATGTTACATCAATGTGTTACAATTTCCTACTTAACAATTTGACTGTTATGTACAACATAATTGTAATATAACTATTATATATACGAGGAATAAAAACTAGTAGTATTGATAAGACAATAAGGCAGTTAAGCGCGTTTTAGTTGAAGAAAACAGAATTTCTGATTCTTAAAAACAGAGTTTAGTGTTTAAAATCAGAAATTCTACTTTCCTCAATCAAATTGTATTTAACTGTGCCATTGTGCGTCATGTTAATTCAGCCAATCTTATTTTAAACATAACATGTGTAAATTATGTTGCACTTACATTGTTGAGTGACAAATTATAATACCGATGTAAAATTATAAGACCGATTATTGATACTTCCCTTATAGAAATATCATACTAAGAATCATTGATAATTACTTATTTTCAGTATTAAAAATATGGGATAATATGTAATTATCAATGATTCTTAGTATGATATTTCTATAAGGGTTGATTTTCACTTGGTTTGGATTTATGATTATTACGGTGAGACTAATGTTACATCGTTTTTTAAATATATCACGATCAAAAATTTTAGCTTTCCGAATTTTATGATGTAAGAGAATGTATTAATCAGTAAAAATTATTAAGAAATCATAAAAATTATAAAAAATAACACATTGAGAATTTTGTTGAACATTTTATCGCGATAAATTACACACAGATATTCGAATAGGTTAAAAAACCCATATAACACAAATCTCTAAAAGACTTCTTAAAGAGTTCCAAAAGAGTTCCCAAGAACACTTTTAGAATTCTTTAAAAAGTCTTTTAAAGATTTGTTCTATATGGGAAGGCAATGGTCCGGCAGTTTCTACTTTCATTTGAAAGGAAGAATACATTTGAAGGAATCACTTGAAAGGAGAATACAGTTGCGATTTAAGTGGACCAGTTTGACTGCGTAAAGAAATGAAAAGATGCCAATGTGACAATTACTATATTTGATAGTATGCGCGAACTAGCGGTCTTGTAGGAAATATATACATACAATTTCTGAAAATTATATGAACGTAATATTGGAACATTTTGTATATACTATAAAAACGAGTGTAATGTAAAGATTTATTTCAATGTAAATTTCTTTTTAATAAAGAATGTGCAATATATATGTGTGTGTATACTTGATTTTCGTTCACTTTATATTTGTGTGATATCCGCATTTTGTTTGGATTTTATTTTTAACCATTGTTATTGTAGAATAACACAGCTGACGTAACCCCGGCAAAAAAATTGATAGAGAACGATAGAATAAAATTCTATCGTTCTATCGTTTTCTATAGTTTTGAATATGGATTTTGGTTTGTGAATTCACAAATGTGAGTAGAAAACGATAGAACGATAGAATTTTATTCTATCGTTCTCTATCAACTTTTTTTACCAGGGAATACATCATTGTTTTTTTCTTTCTTTTCTTTCGACAGGATGCTTTCATCCAAAAGTGTAAACGTTAATGGGTGTTTAACATTTGTTAGACATTTGTCCAAATCATTAAAAGATTTGTTTACCAATTGTCGGTAATGTTAACCCTTATATTATTGAGCATCAGTAAAACATGAACCTACCGACTGCCGGTAAGAAATTTTACATTTTTTATATGTTATATGTTTTACAAGAGATACGAGAGAGTCAATCTAAAATATAAATCTATAACATAATATTTAATATGATAAAAATTTTACATAATATAACATATAATATGATGTAATATAATAAATTTTTAAAGCTTTTAAATCACTACTGTTGAGACTGTAAGGCTATTAAAATATGACTTGAAAGCTATTAAAATATATTATGTTTTACGACATATTATACTGAATTATTTTGTAATTAGTATATAATATGCCGCCCTTGGTAAAACTAAACGTAATGTTAAGATATAGTACTTATATTTCATAAAATTTAAGAAGGCGTGTTTTCCCGAACACATTTGTGCTGAGCCAAAAAACAGAGACTTTACTCCGAGAGACATTCTCCCATTAAATTAGAATACAAAATATGTACATAGTAAATAATAAAAATGCCATCGGGGAATGTGAGAGAGCTGCTGGCGTGACGACCACATGTTCGCTCGCGGGTAGCTAATTGATATGATAAATCTACGTGCCACTTTCAAGTAGCACAACTATATTCCCCGTGTCGCGTTTTTCTCAATACTCTTTTACACACTCCGTTAAATACGGCAGCGGGGTGTTACGTGACGTATGCGCGAGTAGTTCGCAAGGTAAAAAAATACTTACGCAACCGGGGAACATTTAACACCGCCTGGATTAGCCGTGCTAATCGTTTCGCAATTAATTAGAGCTTACGTATCTCCGCTTACTCGACGTCGATTCTATTTTCGATTACGATCGGACTTTATGTATAAATAAGTGGCTTAACAATATCTCGCCAAATTTTATTATCGCAAAGACCCCCGCATTTTCTTTTTCACTGCGTTGCGTTTCTTAATTAAAATACGTTAAGAAACACTGAAGGACAAGGAGGTGAGCCGCCGCTCAATCTATTTTTACAGAAGGCCAACGCCATAATATAAAGAATTTTAATTAAACCGCAATCGCCGCCTACCTCGAAAGGTCTCGGATTAAATCTAGAATAAACGATGATTGATTATTCATTATCTAGTAGTTCAATATTGATTCAGTACGAAAAATTGTTGCTATCATACGGTTTGCGAGTTCGACAATTTTGGACGTTATATTGAATTGTTCGCGAAAAATCTTTTTTTCTTTCAGAAATGGCACATACTGAATTAATTGACACGTTTATTCCTCCTTTTTATTTGTTTTCTTTTTTATATTAGAACATGAGATGAGATTCTTTCAGAAGAAAATTTTCTTTTCTTTCTTTCGTGTATCTTTACGGTAATTTGTATTATTTGTGAGTCCGAAAAATTTTGTACTGAATTACAGTCGCTTAAAAATCAAAAAGTCTTCTTCCAGAAACGCTACAGAATCTCGTTGGTAGATTAATCGTTGTTAATCTTTTTTTATTTGTTTATTTTATGTCGCGGCACATATAAAATACTTCAGAAAAAATTATTTGTTGCTGTAATAGTATTGTTTACATATTAAAAAATTTCGATTATTAAATTATGTTTGTGTAAAATCGAAAATTTCTCCCCCAGAAGCAGCACACAATTAATGGTCGACTGATCGACGGTTGTGTTTGGACTTTTTTCTTGCTTCTTTTACATCAGAACGCGAGATACTTCAGGGTGCACCTCGACTGCGACGATAAATCATGCATAAGACCGGCATTAAAACGGGCACCACTGTATGTACGCTTTTTCCTTCTCTCGAACGTAGTCTTACTAAAATGTTGCCGGATTCCTCAACGGAAAAACTCCTTGATGCGGGACGCTGTTATTAGGTGAGCGTTATAGCTCCTTTCTAAAAATAATTGGCGTCCTGAACAATGTATCGATTTATATTGTCATATACATCGATATCTAACGCGCCGCCGGCTTGCCCGCAATTATATTGCGCAATCGTTGTGTACGTGAAGCTTTTGTGCCGCCGAAAAGGATTAAATTGACCCGCGACGTGTCTGTCGCAAATCTTCAAATAATCCTTGGTAATCTTTCGTTTTGACGATATTCTATTATCGGCAGATTGTTATCCGTTACTTTTGATGGCATCGAATATGTAATCATGAAATAAAAGTGTGATATCATGAAATAAAAATATCCATCATTAAATGTAATTCAGATAAGAAGTCCTGATATTATTCTTATAATATCGTTTTACAGATTCTTTATTATTTCGAAGAAGGAGGAAGAGATTACTTTACTAAAATTAAATATATTGAACGTACGGTAAAACTTGTTTAATGTTTCTTGTTATAATATTATAACATTGGTTTCCGGAGGACCATCACTAAAATTATATAAATTATACTTATTTAATTTATAATTTCTGAATTTTCTTAAATTTACTTTAACTTGCTTTTGACATTTTTTACATAGTAAAGTTTTATAAATTATCTAATATTTCAGGAGGGGATCGTGATATTGCTGGAATTAAATTAAATCTGCTATATACAATGCACTTTGTCGCACGATATGAAATGCAGCCGTGCGCGCTCATATGAATGTGCTTGTGTGTGCTTTGGGATCGCAAAGTGGCCTACAGGAAGATTAGCGGGACGTAACACGCGTCCGCGTCTTTTATCTTCTAATATCACCCTCGAGATTTCGCGTTATCTACTTCCATTCCTCTCTCTCTTTCGCTTCCCGCTTTTCTTATCGCTCCTTCGCACGTTTCCTCGCGGCCAGATGAATAAAGAGGTGCGCAAATGCAGGAAACGACGGCGCGTATAAAGCGCAGTGCTTTCTGATATTAGATCGTGGGGAACGACGACGCAATTTAGTTACGAACTGTTTAATGCACTTTACGGCGACGGCACATGCAAGGCTTCTGATTGCGGTAACCGGCTCGTTCTCTTCCGGGACGGAGTAATACGGTTTTATTTCGACTCGCGCGCGCGGCGGCGCGGTGCGGCCGCTTTCGCGAATGAAAGTCCGTCAGCGTGCGTGCGTGCATGTCCAGCTTGCAGCCGCTTATGCATCGCTTGCGAACGACGCCGTTGCATCGATAGGGCTCGCAAAAGAAAATGCACACTGGCGATCGCTTCCGTAAATTACGATGCACTCCGTTGCACGATATGAAATGCAGCCGTGCGCGCTCGTATGAATGTGCTTGTGTGTGCTTTGGGATCGCACTTTCGTTTTCACATTGCACATATCGCAGGAATCGACCACGCGACCGCTCCCGCTACTCAAAGTTACGCGAAGTTACTTTGGCAATTTATTCATTCATCAATTCATGAAATGAATTGTTACTATCGTCATGTTAACATTAATAACATAATTCCCACACAGCACGTAATATTATATAATATCATAGTAATATTTCCGTAATATTGTAATATCGCAGAAATATTATTGAAATATTACTATGATATTATACATATTATATATATATATATATATATATATATATATATATATATATATCACGTGCTGTGTGGGTTATTATCATATCATCATATTACATCGTCATATAGTGTCATCATATCATATCATCGCATCACATCACCATATCATATTATCATATCATATTATTACATCATATCGTCACATATCATCATGTCATTATTATACTATATTATTATCATATTATAATATATATTATCCTATTATTATTCCTACATGCAATTGTTAATTACATTCATCATATACGATTATTATTACATACATTTTTACTTGCAATTAATTACTCATAATTAAATTATACATACTTTAGATTCATTTACATTCATCTATGTAATTGTTTTAATTGAATTAATCAATAGAATTTTCTTCATGTGAATATATTTGCAGGAAAAAATCAAATTTCGCCACTCGTACCTCTCGTTCTCT